GAGAAGCCACTTTGAAGATATCAATATGTAATACAACCACCATTGTTAATTCCCTACCACTTTGTTTGTAACTCTGTGTTGTCTGTATTGTGCTTGTGATTTGTTGTAGAATGTTGTATGTCTGTTAATGTTTGCCTCCTTTTATCTTTAAAATAAAAAAAATTTAAAAAAAAAAAATAAATAGTGCTGGAAAGACTGGTTATTCACATGCAAAACACTGAAACTTGACCCCTCCCTCACAAAAAAATCAATTCCAAATGGTTCAAAGACCTTAACAAAAGACCTGAAACTCTTGAGTGAGAAGAGGAGGAAACACTTCAAGATACCAGCACAGGCAATGATTTTCTGGAAGACTCCAAAAGATGGCAGAGGAGGCAGCAAAAGTAGAGAAATAGGATCACATCAAACTAAAAGTTTCTGTACAGCAAAAGAAATCATCAGCAAACTGAGGAAGCAACCTACAGAATGGGAGAAAATATTTACCAGCTATTCACCCAAGAGAGGCTTACTATCCAGGATATATAATGATTCAACAACAAAGTAATCTAATTTGAAAATGGACAAATGATCTGAAAAGACACTTTTCCAAAGACCAATGAATACATGAAAAAATACTCAATATCACTCGCCATCAGGGAAATGCAAATCAAAAGTATAAGGAGATACTATCTCACACCAGTTACAATGGCCACTATAAAAAACAAAACACCAAATGCTAGTAGTGATATGGAGAGAAAGAAGATCATGCACTATTACTGAAGAATGTAAATGAAGAGCCACCACAGAAATCGGTACATAGGGGCTGTCCCATAAACTGAAAACAGAACTACCGTAGTATCTTGCTACCCTACTCCTGGGTACACATCCAAAAGAAATGAAGTTGGCTTACAAAAGAGACACCTGCATGCCCATGCTACTGTGGCACTATTCAGTAGCAAAAAAATGGAATCACCCAGGCGCCAAGAACAGATAAATGGGTAAGGAAAATATGGTGTGTACATGTACACAATGGAATATTATTCAATCATAAAGAAGACATAACATAAACAGGCATAGGGATGCATGCCTGTGGCTGAGGCAGGAGGACAGCCAAGTACAAGCCCAGCCTGGGCAACATAATGACTTAGTGAGATCCTGTCTCAAAATAAAAAATATTTTGAAAGGGGCTGCAGATATAACTCAGTGAAAAGGCCCTGGACTCAATGCTCACTACTGCAAAAAAAGTGGGGCAGGGAGAAGAGGGGGGAATAAATTTGTCATTCGCAACCAAATGGACAGAACGGTAAGGCCATATGTTAAAGAAAATAAGCCAGACACAGAAAGACAAGTGCCGCATGTCCTCAATCCATGTGTGGAAGCTTTTCAAAAACATCAACCTGAAAATCCAGCAGTGATTACACCTGGCTGGGTGCACAGGGAGTGCAAGAAGGTGGCCTGGATACAACCCAGGTACACTGTGTGCACACAGAAGTGTCACGTGGCTCCCATCCAGCTATACAGTTAATGTTTTAATAAATATTATATGAAATCTGAATGCCAACGAAACACTCAAGTTTCAGACTTCAGAGCTGTTCAGATTTCAGACTTTTGAATTAAGGATACTCAACCTACAGTTAAAATCATTCTCAGTAATTATAACAGTTTAAGTAATTACTATAAAGTTACCTTATTTTCTATTTTCAAATTTACTCTAAAATTAATGCACTAAAATAAGACTGCGACTTAAGAGTAGTCACTGGTCACTGCCAACACCATGCCCCTCTGCGGTTCAGTTTCCCAGTCAAAGCACAGCACAAACGCCTTACATCCGCCTCTCCTCCTCTTCCTTTCTCCGACGCTGCTCCTCCTCCTCCCGTCTTTTCCTTTCCTTTTCCATTTCTTCTTGAATGCGCCTCAGCCTTTCTGCCTCTTCTTCCTGCTGTTTTTTCTTCTGGAGCGCACTGAGGAGCTCCTCTGAGCTTCTGACCAGGGCGTCGTATTCCCTCTGTATCTGTTCCCTTGTCATCAGAGTAGACTGGGAAAGAACAGGCACACCCTTAAGGAGCTAGCTCCTCCACTGCACGACAGTCAACACGCACAGCACACTGGCTGCGCACCTGCACGCTGCTAGGAAGACCAACATAAAGCTGCACGCTTCCCACCACGATTTTTAGAAAACCTACCCCAATCTGTACATAAAACAGCAACAAAGTAGAAAACCTGGTAAGCAATACACCCCTTACGTTTGCTGTGCTGTTGGGACATTCAACAACCTTCAAACTTAAACATTAACCCTGCACACAAATATTTGACTCTATTTTTGTATTAACCAAATCATCAACATCTGAACATATAACTATAGATACAGTAACATAATTGCACTTAAAAATTCCTTTTAAGGAATTATTTGCCCAGTTAGGCAAAATTATTGTTTAATAATATTGTTCAAATAGTACCTAAGGAATATAAAAGAAACTACTACATGCATATAAAATTGTTTAATTTTCCTAAGCCTTCAAAGCAATGTGGCTCGGTTAATTTTAAACTGACACTGATAGCTCATAAACAGGGATGGCTCATGACAGATTTATAAAGTCAGCTACATCTATACTGGCGTTTTTATTCTTCTCCAGATCATTACTCTGCTTTCTACCTCTATGATTTACTATGCATTGTCTGCATAAAATACGACATTGGGCTTACTTTAAGGTACTAATATTCACATAATTGTATTACGCCAAGAAACTAGTTGAGGAAAATAGTAAAATCTTAAAATATAATGGAGGAAAAGATATAAAAAGATGAAACATGATTAAAAAAACAACAGAAAAAAATCTCAATCCCACTAGTAATCAAATAATTGCAGTTTTTCAATTATTAGCCCTACTTTTTTCTACAAAACTGAGGATGAAATTAGTGGCCATTTTTTTTAACAGTTAATGTTATAGCCTCTACGAAGATAATGTGTTAACATGGACAAAGCACAGAACAAAATGGCACAGATACAGAATTAAACGTACATCATGGTTAAAATTATGTACAAATAATTACACACATAAAATAAGATTATAAATGAAACACACTAGCCGAATGTCTTCGTGTGGGGGCATAAAGGGGTTTTGTCAGTTTTCTTCAAATTTTTAATAATGTTAATAATTTACAAATTAAGTTTCTGTTGGGGCTGGGGAGGCAGTTCAATGGTGGAATGTCTGCTTAACATGTTATAAGGCCCTGGGTGTGATCTCCAACACTGCCAAAAAGAATAAATAAAACAGAATTTTTAAAACTTAAGTAGAAAAGCATAAAACAAATTAAAATAATTTGCATTAATCCTGAGTCAAGACTACGCAAAAACTTAACAACAAAGTATAGTATTTTTACTCTTTTGAGAGGAAAACATTTTTTCCTTACAGAAGATGAAACTGCATAAAAATTGCCAATTTCATGCTGTTATTAATGAAATTTTCAAACAGAAAAGAGAATATGAGCATCCACTTGTCAATATTTTGTATCTTGAAAAAGATGAAGACCTCTTTCTATACAACTCCAACACCAAAAGATACTAAATTATATAAAAAAGGCAAAGTCATTTGGGCTAAAGTTACATACCTTAATCTTGGCCATCAAAGCATCAATAGAAATTTCAAGGTCTTTGATCTGTTTATTCACCTCTGGCTTTCCGTCTTTTAATGCACTTACTACTTCATTAAACCTGTCAAGCCGCTTCTTCAGAGTGCCCACCTTAACCAGGCCGTCAATGCTGGAAAGAGCATATTCCACAAAGACACACTTCGTTGTTAATGCTTTCTGTAAACGTTTTTCATTAATAAAATGCTAAACACACATAACTAAACAGGTCATTTCACTTCTGTTTTCATTATTATTTAATATTCTCTGTTTGAGATGTCTTACTAAGGGTGAAAGGAATTAAGCATGCGTAGGAATGACACCGATGCCTGTCTTCTATGCTTTAACTGAAAACCAAGCATTCAAACTTGGAATTTAAAAAAGGTATTTAATAAGCTCTGAAAAGTTACTCAGACATGCAAGTTTAAAAAGTTCAAGCTAGTAATAAATATTTAAATTAAAAAGCATTTTAAAAAACTAAGTCTATAGTAATATAATGTAATTCTATGGACAATCTTGAAAATAATGGTGAAAATATTAATATTTTTTAAAACATCAACTTGACATTATTAAGAAACTGAAATCATTAAAGTAACTGAAATAACAGTTTTTCTCAACTATTTGTTTCGCCTGTAAAAGTATGCATCCATATTTTTATATGCCACTTCACATCTTGTAGATTGAGGCAAGAAACATGTAAATTAGCTAAAATAAATATACAAATAACAGACAAAAATACCATTTTACAAAGCGCATGCATTACAAAGATCTAAACTGCTTTCTTTTTATTATGACTTTATTGCCATTTTAATGTGGATATCCAGGTCTGGGTGTTGTTGTCTGAGAAAAGTCTCACTATGTAGTCCAGACTGGCCTCAAATTCCCAGGCGTCCTGCCTCCGTCTCCCGGCGCTGGGATTTCAAGCATTTGTCACCACACCCAGCTGTGATTATGTTTCACAGGGTCCTTCACACACTATTTATCTTACCGAGGTTTGTGTCTCCTTTTGCAAAGCCACATCCGAATAGTTTTTTGCATTTTAATGCAAGCTTCTGCTCGGTATTTTATTTTGTTTTTCACTATGAATAAAATCATTGTAAAATTCAGGTGAAATTGGACAAATAATATCTATTTCTTCAAAAACTATTCATTTTCACAAATGCACTTCTCAAGCAATATGAAATCTTGAAGAACATACTATATCAGACATGAAAATCATGAAGGTTTAACATTCCCTTGGTTTCTTAATACTTCGTAAAAATAAAAAATATTGCAGCTGGGTTCATACTTTAAATTCATTATTTCCTTATTATGCTACGCTACCGATTCCTACACAACATTTGTTCTATTCAATGTGAATAGATATGCCTTTAAGAAAGGATTTACCCGGAAAATCAGTCTAGGTGAGACATACAATACACCTCCCTTTGGAAATGCACAATGAACGTGCTGGGTTAGGCCTCTGAGAATCCTCCAGTAAAGGAATCTTCTCAACTTCAGGTACCCAGAATTTCCCTGACTGATCCGACCTTGGAAGATCTTGCTCAGAGAACCCTTATTAACATTCTGCAGGCACAGCCGTCTGCTCACTGACCTCAGCACGTCTGCACAACACAGGCTACAGACACGTGGCATAGTGCAAGTCATTTCAATACAATGCGTTCTCCATCATAATGCAATATACGAAACTAAAAGCACTGAACTACCATGGCAAATAGCCTTATATTTTATTGGGAAATGAAAGGGAAAAAAGGTTCAGTTATCTCTTTATTATAGTTTTCTTTATCCATATTCACAAGTGTCTAACAAAGGATCTCAATAATCATTTCTGTTTTCATCATTATTTTTCATTAAACCAAATGAATTTTCTTTTTCTATTCATAAGGAAAGGTTCACTGAATCCTCTTCATATACCCAGCACTATTTGAAGTACTCTTGTATGGGCAGCAATTACAAATTTAATCAAGTTGCAGATTCCCAAATATAGTAGCTCCTAACAATTACAGGTTTGCCACAGACCCCCAGGTAATTCAAAAGTACTCTGCACTCAGTCCAGTGAGGGCTAAAAAGTTGGCAGAAACACATGCAAAAGCTGCTCACTGCAGTGCATCAAGGAACAGAGGTACAGGGGCTGCGGTAACGGGATGGAACCCCGTTTTACAGGCTTGAAAGACACTTGGAGAACTTGGGCTCTGCCCATTACTCAAAGGTGACCTAGAAAGGCTTTTAGTCCAGAGCTCGGGAGCTACTGAGGTTGCTGTGAGTGGGAGAAAGAGAAGAAACTAAGAAACCAGCAACAAAAGCACAAAATGACAGCATTTGGAGGAGACAGAGATGCAGTTTGGCAGCTGACAAGATTTCAGGGTTAAGAAAGGAGAAACAACTGTGGTCTGGACATTTCTGTCGTGTGTACTGTAGATGGCAAACAGGCAGAAAGAGGAAAGTCCTCCTTTGAATCTGAGAGATGGGGGATGGAGCTTCAAGTCCCAGGAAAAAGAAAAACAGTGAAGACAACAAGCTGTGCTCAGGACCTGGTGAAAGTAACACTCCGGTAACACATTCACTAGGAAAGTAAGTGTCACATATTCGAAAAATAAATAAAACTCCAAAGTCTACAAAGGCTAGCTTATTACATACCATGTATGAGGTACCGCCCGAGGAGCCAGGGACCCAGCAAGAACTAAAGCCCTGGCCAGCTGCCCAGCATTCCTGAGGGAGCCTTGTATAATCCCACAAACCGGCACACTTCCAAAGCAACAAAATCTTAGGTATGAAAGGAAGCACTCACGCTTGATGACAGAGAGCGCACACCACTGGACTTTCTTCCAGCGACTGCAGACCAGCCAGTGATTGACTCTTTTAACCAACTCTGCTAAGTGGTCGGGGTCCGACTTCATGATCTGATCGAATTCTGCAAACTACGAAGTAAAATACCAGCATTAAAAGATAAATATGTTTAAACACATAGGGAAAATGAAATAAATAAAATTCATATCCCAAATCCAACTTTCTGAAAATGGCTGCAGGCTGGCTGCAGACACATCTTAGTGGGTGGACAGCAAACTAACACATTTTGACTGCCTTCTTCTTCCTGGCCTTCAGGGTCTTTTTTGGGAGACAGAGAAAAAGTAGCAGACGCAGTAATAAAAGCAGAAAAACTTCAGAAGATTGGCAAGAAGGTTTTATTAAGAAAAAAACAGAGAACTAATGTATGTTTGAATTGGCTCATCCATATTCTCAGATGCCCATATACAACTCTGAGTAATGAAGGCCAGCTATGTAACACCCGGTACCACCAAAACTATTCTCTCCCAACCCCCAGCCTCATTTTGGAAAAAGATTAAGAACTTTCTACTAAAAGAATACACAGCACAAATAAAATGAATGAATACAACATTATTCCCATTATTTACCACCAAATTCCAAAAATGATTTCTATTCTTTATCAAATATCCTACCATAGTATAAAGATGTTATATACCACCTAATAAACTGACATTTTGAGCTGGATATGGTGGCGCATGCCTGTAATGCCAGCTCTCAGGAAGCTGAGGCAAGAGGATCGCCAAAGTCCAAAGCCAGCCTAGACTACACAGCAAGACCCTATTCTCAAAAAATCTAGACAGACAGATAGACAGAGACAGACAGACAGACAGAGACAGACAGACAGACAGACATTTTATAATCAAAGTTAAGCCAGGTGTGGTGGCGCATGCCTGTAATCCCAGCACTCGGGAGGCTGAGGCAGGAAGATCATTGCAAGTTTGAGACCAGCCTGGGCTACAAAGTGAGCTAAGGCCAGCCTGGACTGCATAGCGAGACCCTGCCCCAAAAAGACAAAAAAAATTAAATTAAATTAAAACTAACATAATAAGATTAGGGATCTCAATCTTTGCCTTAGGCTTTCAACAAATCCTTACTAATTTTTCTGAAGGATGTAATTCTTTAATAATTACTACAGCTCTGAAATAAGAGAAATGTTTTTTTGTTTGTTTGTTTTGAGACAGGGTCTCACTATGCATTTCAGGCTGGCCTTGAACTCACTTCATGGCCCAGGCTAGTCTCAAACTTGCCATGATCTTCCTGCCTCAGCCTCCCAAGCGCTGGGATTACAGGTGTGCACCACCACACCCAGCTGAAGTAAGAGAAATGTTGAGTTTATGATAATTATGGATGCTTAAAACTAAGCCAATTATGAAATTTATATATTCATTTTTTCTTAATATTTTATTATTTTATATGGATCCTCTGTAATAATTAAGTGCATACACTGACAAGCATATGTTTTACCTCATGTTCAAACATGTGAAATCAGATTTATAATTATTAATTTATCCTCAGACACTAAAGATATTTATTGATCTTGCTTAATCCAATTAGTATTATTGGCTATTTCACAGTCACAATCATGTTTAAAATGAGGATACAATTATTAAACCAACATTAAAGAAGTTAGGAATGGGGAAACATTACTAATAGACTGAGAACAGCACTGGATAGTTACTGGCTGCATCTCATCATAAATTATTATACAAACTCTGAATATTAAAGCTATAAGGTTATGTGTTGCCCTAAAAAACCCGTTACATTCAAAACAAAATAATTTTTTTACTTTAAAGAGAAAAGAACAAAAACAAATTAACAAACACAAAGACATAAAACAACACAAAGACAATAAAAATGATACAGAATTTCAAACAAGGTGATAGGAAGTTAACAACGGTTATTGTATTACGTATTGTTATCTTGAAATTGTTTACTCAGATTACATTCAAACGTATTTATACATTAATTCATTCTACGGTTTGACAGAGGTCAATACAAAGTCCAGTCCAATCTCCTCTGGCTTATGTATCTACATACCCTAGTGAAACATGTCACAATGAACTCCAGAGTACCACGAAATCGCAAATCACTGAAGACTGAATTAATGCTTTAGAAAATCTTCTGATCTGTTTAAAATGTTCTGATTAATCCCCTAATTTAAGTAAATAAAAAGTCAAACTATGCTCTGATTCAAATACTGAAAAATATTGCAACATTTACACAGAAAATTAAATATTATAACATTTCTCACAAGAAAACTGCATATGTACACATCCACATGCACACATATATATTCCATATTATTCAAGTAACCATATAATTCAAGAATACTACAAATCACTAATTACTTAAAAACATTTAGTAACCCTAACTGCCCACAGGCATGATGTTAAAGTTTAAAATAAAAATATATTTACCTTGCCAGGTCTAAAAAATACTTTTGTTAACCCAAACTTGTAGTCAACTTCATTTAAGCCCAGAGCTTTAAAAAGAGCCTGAAAAATCAAAGTTTAAAAATTAAATTCCAACTAGTAATTATTAGGAAATATTTAATCAGTAAAAAGTTTCAATTTAAGCATTGTACCTTACAGAACAGCCGTGGATCTAATCTTGCAAGTTTATCTGGCATGTACTTTTTATACATGTTGTAGAGTTCATGAAATGAAGCTCGTGATGGGAAGCCACCCTGCATCAAGTCCAAAACAGACACCATGCCTAGATTCATACAAAAAATACAAATCACTGCCAACCACTGCACAAAAGCCCAAAATAATTTGTGAACAATTTCACATATTAAAGTTTAGAAAGGGGGCCGGGGATATAGCTCAGTGGCACAAGTGCCTGCCTGGCAAGCATAAGGGTCCTGAGTTCGATTCCCGGTACAATAAATAAATAAATAAATAAATAAATAAATAAAGTTTAGAAAGGGACAATAAACAAGAACTGTCTACAATGAAAAATTACATAGGAAATATACTTCTAATCACTGTGTTCCAATTTGTCTACCTAAAACTAATCAAATTCTATCTGCAAGCAGCACAACTAACCATTCTTAGACACAAGTTACTGATCTCTGGAAAGCTCCAGTCTACTCTGTATCTGTTTTTTTGCTTGGTGTGCATATAAGCCCTGTGTGGGAATTATTTGGGATTCGCCTGGACAGTCGGTGGCCAGCCTTTCTAGGTATGTCCGGGTGGATCATGAAAATGTGGCCTTGGTGGCCATGTATGGTGCCTCATCCCTTCCTCCCCGGCACTGTTTCCCTCCTCCTCTTTCCAGCCACCATGAACAAAGTAGCTTCGCTCCACAGGATTTTTCATCAGATAACAACAGACTAAATTCCCTGTAAACAGAACCAAAGTAAGCCTCTCCTCTAAGTTCTGAGTGTCAAGCATTGCATCCAACAGCAAGAAAGCTAAAACAGAAAATCAGTACTGCAGAAATGGAGTCACTGCTGTGACTGTACCTGACCGTGTGGTTTAAAAGCTTTTGAAATGCCTTGTGGGGGAAGTTTGAGAAAGTTTGGAGATGCAGGCTACAGAAGCCGAACTATGCTGTAAATAGCTTGATGGATGATTCTCAGAAGATTTCAGCTGGGAACAAAGTCTCCACTGGCAACTGGATTAAAGGCCATGTGTGTGGCACTTTAGCAGAAAATTTGTCTACATCTTGCCCATGTCCTGAGACTTCGCAGAAGACTGAGATAAGGGCCAGTAGACTGACTAATCCAGTGAAAGAAATTTCAAGATAGCCCAACGTTCGGGTTGTGGCATCTGTACTGCTCGCTGCATTTGGCCAGATTTACGTTGAGAATTAGAAGGGAAAGGCAGAGCAGAAATATTTGAGAAACTTAAATTTTGGTCCTGAAAGAACTATGAGTAAAATTGGATCCAAAGAAGGCACGGCTACTGAAGAAATGAGCACCACTAATAAAGTAAGTCCAGTCAAACCCTGCATTGTGAGTAATTTGGTCTGAGAGTGTTCCACATTGCTAAGAAATTTTTACTTGATAATAAGCAGTGTCTTGCAATATAAGTAGTACAACACACTGAGTGTCACATGATCACAGTTGGTCCTTTTCTCTCCTTCTCTCACTGCTCTGATATACAAGTGCTTTAGATTATGAGAGGAACAAATTATTCCCACAAACCAAGGTCTTAGTATAGAGTAAGTCTCAGACTTAGGAACAAGTTCCATTCTGAGAGAACTTTAAGTCAGATTCGTTTGTAAATCCAAAGTGAGTCTTACACACCTTTGGCACAAAAATACAATGTAAAGCACAAAAATACCAAATCTTAAGGTTCATTCGTACCTGTGAAAGTTTGCAATGTTCACAAGTTGGGGACTTTCTGCACTTTTTATATAGATAAGAAGAAAGATGTCTTGAAGACATTTCAGGAATCAGCATGACCACACCCATTACAGACCCGAGGGTATAAAAGTGTACACCTTTCATTTAGGGAAGGCATTAGTTCTCCTAGATTCATTTCCCTCTGCTCAGTCACTCAGGCGGCCAAGGTCCAAGTGGGCCTGGCTACTGCCAGCAATGGTGGCAGAACTAGGCATCATGCACATGATACAAGTTTTACCAGTATGCAGAAGGCATGCTGAGCCCAGGGAGGATTCCACTCAGATTTCAAAGGGAAGCCCGGAAGGCCAGGCAAGGAGCTACTGCTTGAAGAGGCTACTGCTTAAAGGTGTGGCAATACAGTCAAAAAGGCAGTGAAGACAACAGGAAGTTGGACATGTCAAGAACTTGGAACATCTTCCAAAGAAAATTGCAGGCTTTGAGTGCAGCCTGCCCAAGAGAGAGAGGTCATTGTTGCTAAAAAACGGCAGGGTCATGGAGGTGGAGCCACCCAAGACCTCTGAAACTCACATCTCTTTACCATTTGTTCCGGATGCCAGACATGGAGCTACAGTATTTAGTGCTTTCCCTGCTGGGTTTCAGGCTTGTTTTGGACTTATTCTTTCTTTCTATATTTCTACTCCCTTTTTAAATTGGGAGACCCACTGTATCTTGGGGTTATATAATTTGTTCATTTATTTTTACAGAGCCTCACAAGTTAAGGGTTTGCCTTGAGTCTCAGAACAGACTGACTTAGATCTTCAAAAATGCTTGAACTGTGGAGCCACTGGGGAACAGAGTGTTGCATTTCCAGTTGCACAATAGGAGAACTGTATTACATTAGACGGAATTAGGATCTTGCTATTGTCCTTATTTGAAAATTTTAAGTATAGTTAAAGGAGATGTGTTTGGGTTAAGGGCTGACAAGGGTTGGGATGTGGCAATGAAGGTAGAAGTCAGCTTGACTGGCTTTGAGACCCGCCCAAAGGATTGACAGGACACTTCCGGGTTGTGCCAGGACAGGTCACGGAGGTGTGGCCTTGAGGTCAACATCTGGTCCCCGGCCCTCCCTAACACTGCTTCCCTGCTGTTTTCCAGCTGGCACGCACTAAGCAGCTTTGCTTCACCACACCCTTCTGCCAGATGACCAAGGAGTGAATCCTCTTAAAACATAAGCCAAATGAAGTCTCTCCTTCGTTAAGCTGTACGTGCCAGGTCCTGCATCCAGCTACAAGAAAGCTGACTAATACACCCCATCCTGGTCACTTCCTAAGTCCTGAGGTTCATTTTAGAATAAAATTCCTGACAAAGTCTCCAAAAGGTAGTCAAATATATTTCCAAATTCTCTCTGGTTCTTAAGCAAAGCAAAAAGGGGAGAGAGAAAAAAAAGACCTTCCTCGGAGAAACTAATCTACTGGAATAATGTGCCCATAGAATAAATATCTGTTATCAGTATAATTCTAATAAATTTTAAATCTAAGTCCTGAATCAATGTGAGCTTTTCAGGTCAGAAGTGTAAAATAGGTTGAGAACAATTCAACTGTTAAATATAATGGCAAGACTTTTATTCACAAGACCTCGATTTCAGTATCTGGAGCTACTCAAATCAAGGAGAAAATAAGATTATTCAGTAAAAGGTGTTACAACAGATGGACAGCCTTTTAGGAAACAAAAATAACATCAGACTCTTACCTCGTTTCTTATACTAAAATAAATGCCTGTGAGTCAAAAGTTTTAAATAAAAAACTATAAAAGTATTTTAAATAAATTTTAAATAAAAACTATAAAAGTTTATAAATGCATTTTTATTTTAAAATAATCTCATGGGAAAGATGACCTTTCTAGGCAGTCAGATTGAATTTTAACCTAATTGTCTAAGATGTAAAATATTAATACTGTGCTGGTACCTCAGTTCATGAATGTTTGTGTTTGCAAACAACTTGGTTTGCAAACAGAAGCATTTGGTAAAATTTTGATTTTGTTTGCAAACTCCGCATTGGGTGGCAAACATGACCACAGCCATCTTTCCCACACAAACACAAACATGACCATCTCTTCCAAAATTGTAGAACAAATTAAGTTTGTGACTCAAGGTACCACTGTAGATACTCAGAGGTTATGGCAGTGGAGGAAAACACACATTCTAAGTGAGAGTGTAAAACAGTGCAACAATTTTGCATGGCAATTTGGATATAGTATTTATACTTCTGGTCCAGTAATGATGGACTTCTATGAATCTACCCTGCAATTTCTCACATTTGGACAAAGATAAGCTATGGACAATGTCCAATGTCCACTGGGTCACTGTTTGCAATAGAAAAAAACATCAGAAATAGCTTAAATATCTACTGACTAAATTATGTTACAAATATATAATGGAATCTGACACATTAGCTAAAAATAGAGCAGAGCTTCATCTAACTAGTATGAATAGATCCAACATATATAAAAATTACAGACAAATTCATGAAAGACATAAAGACATCTTTCTTAACGAGGAAAAAAAATCCCAGAAGTAGATTTAGCTCTAGGCCCCGCCCTGGAGAAAAAAGGTTTCGTTGGTATTGTCAGTTTTTGCCCATTTACATCAAGTACCCTTTAAAAAATGTATGCACCACCACTAAATTTCTTGGCTTTCCCTACAACTGCAGAATATGAACATTAAGAACTTCATGAAGCTTCACGAATTACCTACCCTACAACTGATTTCTCAGCACTTAAGGTTAATTCACTCTTAAGATTTTAGGTAGTGCAAAAAATAATAAAACTCACTATTCCTTCTAGAAATTCCCCGACCTGCTTGGCATAATGCTGGCTGCTTGTACTCAGAAGCCCCCTTTGCTATCACAGACAACTCAACCCTGAGGCTACAGGGCAAGAAAGCCTGACTTCTCTCTCCCTCCCCTGCTCGGACTGGTGGGGCTGGTGAGAAGAGAGCACTGTGAGTGGGATGTTTCTTAAATTAGTTGTCTTCTAAATGGAAAAAAATGCAAATTAAAAGGTAAAACAATATATCTTAGAGTACTTCATGAGCATTTTTATCTCTACCAGTTATTTTTTGCTTTTCTCATTAGCTAGCTACATGACTAGAACCAGTTTTATATCACTATCCTATTAGTAGACTTCAAAAAAAAAAATCAAACTTTTATAAACTGGTATCACCTCTTGGGCTGCCAACGTATCTTAACATGCTGAAACACCTGCTTACCGAAAAACTGATCCTAGCTAAAGCACCAGTAAGCCCATACTCTGCTAATCTAACAGTACACACAGCTAAATCTAAACATGCTTCATGTGCTAGGACAACAATGTTCATTTAGGAAATACATTAATTACACTATGCTAAACAAGTCCTAAAAGAGAATTCAAATGGGAAAAAGTTAAACTCTAAGCCATAACACCCTAAATACACAAAAATATACCTCTAGTATATTTAAGAATTCAGTAGATTTGACTTACTTAATTTTCCAGTACTTGTCCGAATTAGTCATAAATTTTTGTATTTGCTAGATCATGTGTTTTGTTCAACAAATATTTACTAAGTTTAGTATATGCCAGGGAAGTGAGATTTTTGTGTAAATCAAAACAAGATACATATCCTGCTCTCGTGGGGTTTGTGAATGGAGAAGGAAAAATTTTAATTATACAAGTATACTCAAAATCTGTAACAAGGGCTACAAAATAAAGGCATGAGAACTCAGCACTGTAAACTAAGACCCGCTTCTGTGATAGGAACATCAGGAAAGGCTTTAACAAGAAGTAACAACCAAGCTGAGCTGTGAAAGATAAAGGAAAAGGTGTGTGGAAAGCATCTCAAACACAGGAAGCAACATATGCACAGGCCTGGGACAGGACAGAGCACTTAAGGCACTCCCAAGAAAGCCAATGTGCTGCAGCAGTTAGGAAAAAGTGAAGCCAGGGACACACAGGGCAGATGACATGGGGTCTCGTGTGCTAACAGCTGGCGTAAAGAGAAGGAAACTCCAGCAAAAAGCCATGGGCGAGAGGGTGACGGCTTGGGTCAGAGTGGAACATGCACTACATCAGCGGTTACACCAATGGGAGCTGGAGAAACTTAGAGAATGGAGACCATGCTGTCCTACATAGTCACCAGACACACGTGACTACTTACAAGTGTTAACATTAATTAAAATTCAGCCTGTACAGTGTCTAATGGGCACCCTAATGAGTAACACAGATACAGAGTAATTCTAGCATCATGCAAAGTTCTGCTGGGTAGGGCTGGCAAACAGGGAGTAGGAAAATTAGCCTAATTTAAACCCTGAAACAATAATACCCAGGAAGAAAAAAATGAGCCAACAGAACCAACAGTGGCACACACTGTCGCAGAAGCCAAAGAAAGACTACATAAAAGGGGCTGGCCAGGGCCAAAAGCTTGTGCAATCCACCAAGAGGCTGTCACTCAGGTCTGCAAAATGGACACTTGATTTTAGATCAGGCAATTACTGGTGACCTGACCAGGACAGAGGTTCCATTCTCTCGGGTTTAAAGAGTGAGGAGACGGCAGAAGACTGAGAAATCAAGACAGACTATTCGTGGAGCGCAAAGGAGCAAGGGGGAAACACGGTGAGGATGCAGGGAGGAGCTGCAGGGAGTGTGGGTCTCAGATGAGACTTCAGCGCGTTCAAATGGCAACAGGAATGGGGAAATACGCATCGTCAGGTCCAGAGGGTCACGCGAAGGTCTGAAGGGATGGATGTCAAGGCAGTGTGAGCCTCCAAGAGGAAGGACAGTTCCTCTGGACAAGAAGGAAGCTTGTGAAACAGGCAAAAGCACTTGGCGGCTTTAAGTTTTCAGCAGAGAGAGGGAGCCACCTGCTGGCAGAGCCGCAGAGATGTGAAAGCAGCCGGATGGACATGACCGCCTCTGTGGAGAAACAGAAAGTGCTGGCCAGGGACACTTGACAGGACAGGTTTGAGAGCTCTTGAAGGGTGTGGCCATGAACTGAAATGGCGCCAACACCCATGCATTTCCGAAAGGGAACACACAATGAAAATCTTACCACATTCAAAAATAATCAAGCCTGTGGCAAATTATTTGAAAACACTGGCCCTATTCAACTGTGCCTGACATGCATCAATACGGATGCGAAAACAAGAAAATACCTGAGCACTGAAGCTGAGACAGAATCTGAGCACCTTCAAAGTGGTGGCTCGTCATCTTCAAGTTGGGTTTGATGCAACGAATGAAGCTCGCTCCCTAGGAGGATAAAGGCAGCTCTGAGACGATACGGAGAACAGCCTCAGTTTCTAATTCTACGAACACCAGCAATGTTCAAAGCTACTGACACAAAAAAACTTTTAAAATAAACACCAAAAAAAGTAAAAACATATTAGCACACTTTTACAAATTGAAGCTTTGAAGTAGATTTGGATGACAAAATTTATAAAAAGAAACATCTTTCACTCTAAAATATGCACCATATTTAAACGTTTTGCAGGCTGACATACATGTGATTTTATTCTATACTCATGTACACGTATTTCTATACTATTTCTGTAAGAATATTATTCTGTGACAAGAGATTCAATAAAATTATGCCCTTTTAATGCCAAAACGCACACATACTCAAAATCCTCCAGCCCTCTGACTCTACTTCAAATACCAAGGGTTGGTTCGGTCCTTGGTCTGTGACAGTGCTGCTGCAGAAGTGGGGAGCTGAGCTCAGGGCTTCACACGGAGCTACACCCCACACCTTTTATAGTACGTTTATTATGAGACGAGATTTCACTAAGTTGCCCAGGCTGGGTTCGAACTTTTAATCTTCCTACCTCAACCTCCCACAGTGCTGGGATTTCAAGTGTGCATTCCCAAGCCCAGGTGAAAAATTTAATTTGTTAAACAGTACTTATTAAAGCTGCAAGGCATTCATTTGGTGATCAGCCTATCCTAAATGAGGCAAGAGAAGACTGATTATTTATACGATGAAACGATGTAGTAAAGCTAATATACTAGACCTCTAAATAATTGTTTCTCTTCGAAATAGTAGCCTCGAAGAACTGAATAGCTGTTTCAGCAAGCGTGCTCACTGCAAACACTTTTAGAACATATTTCTATGAATCACAAAAGTAATCTCATTACTTTAAAGAAGCAATGAGATTAAAGAAATAAAAGTAAAATGCCTTTCTCATCAGCTTAATCTTAAGTGATAAATGTCTGCAGCCAATGAAGATATTCAAAAGAAAAAATTTCTTTCTATTGTAGTTTTTACTTTTTATTTAATAATACAGCGTCAGTAAGACATATAGTTTAAAAAAATAGGTTCCCATAAATTTTGCCTTTGTTAAGAAGAAATATGTCCATTTTTCCATATCAACATTGCCATGTCTGAAAAATGTTATAAGAGTAATAAAATGAAGTTAAATTACACGCTTTATCTTTAATCCTAAAAATATACATTTTCCTCCATGCTTACTAATTATTTCTACCTTTGTGAAGCTATGGTTAACCTCAAAATCATTCAAAGAGCTCTGTATTTCCGTAAAACAGTTTGACTTTATATACATTTTTGGCCTTTCTTCAGAACACACCTAACAAAAATAAACATTTCAAAAACATGTTTCAATGAAGGGAATTAAATATATTTCTAATTATTCTAGGGTTACTGCATTTATTTGGGTAAATAGTAATAATAGTGTTAGAGGACTGTTTAAAACATGTATTTTGTTTTCAAGTGTACTCACAGTACTTCGAAGTTTATCCAAAAGCAAATTTAACTGTGTCTGTGAAAGAAAGGAAATGAATTTATTTCAAGAAGTCAAAGTACTCTGTAACATGAGTTAACATTAATTCTCCAATATTAAAATAAAGTAACATGCAACAGCATCCGCATATAACACTTTGGAACTTAGCAAACTTCTGGGCACAAACTCTTTAACAGCATCATGCAAAATGGAGAGTGAAATGTCAAGGGTTGTAACTACACAGAACTTGTATAATTAAAGGACTGAAAATTAGTCATACTAAAAAGTCACACACAGATTTGCAGGTGGGATGAGTGAAGGAAAAGCATACGGGCAATGAGGGAAGTAAATGAGAAAGCTGGGGATGCAACCAATATGAGAATAGAACTACAATATTTCAAGATGTGGCAAACCAGAAATACTTTGTTTCATAAGCTATTAAGAGTGAAGACACACTCACAATATGCATACTGGTGTCTATCAGGATTATTCTACCTAACAGCACAAACAAAACTGTCTTAGCTATAGATATTCTCCTATTATTTTAATACAGTGGTTTTTTTTTTTCCTGGTACAGGAAATCGAACTCATGACCTTGCACTTGCCAGGCAGGCGCTGTGTGGTTGAGCTAAATCTCCAGCTCCTCTCCTAGTATTTTAAAACATTTCACACTTCAATTATTTTTTAGAAATTTGATAATTTTCTTTAAAAAATGGAAAATGAATATATAAGACAAGACATTATGCCTTCCTGCTTTTAAAATATTTTTATAATTTACTCTTGTTCAGTACACTGAAATCATTTATCTGCTTTATTACTCTACAAAATAAATTAATTATGTAAAATCCAGTGTGTGGATTTTATACTGAGATCCTTATTATACTACTTAGGAGAGAAATTGAAATGTTATTCTTACATTAATATTATGTTGGCCGCAACTATAATTGATACTAACAGGCAGCTTCCCCTTGAGCAAGGCACTGCTCAAAGCTTTACATGAGTATCATCAAGCTTAACCCAATTAAGGGTAATGACATCTTCATGAAGAGCACATGATTGGCCTCACTTTGTAGGCACAACACTGAGGTCCAGATAAGTGATCACCTAAGCTCATGGCAAAGCATAATTCCAACACGGGCCGACACCAGACTTCACTCTCCTCTCTGATGCTACAGTACACTTCACGTATCTTAGGCTTCTGTTATTAACACAAAATGAATGTCGCTGGGTCCAAGAAACACAGTCAGACCCCACTTATCTGGCTGACAGAGTTCTGACAACCTAATCCCTCTGCACCCCCACACAACTCAAAAGCAAGCCCAAGAGTCGCTATTATGAAAGAAAACAACTGTTGCAAGTCTGTGCTCTTTAATCCACAGATGAAGTCTGGTGTCCTTCCCCAAATGGAGATTCAGTGCCAATAGTGGAAGCAACAAAAATGAATAGCAGTGAGAAAAAACAAAAGAAGGCCAGTTACCAAAAAGATAGCACTCAAAAACCACAAGGCAAGGTCCAGGGATGTAGCTCAGTGGCACAGCGCTTGCCTGGCAAGTTTGAGGCCCAGAGTTCAATTCCCCACACCAAAAAAAAAAACAAAAAACAAACAAAAAAAAAACTACAAGTCACTGGGTAAACAGCCTTGGGCAACACAGGCTCCATTTGTATTTTTATGGTAAAAGACACAGTATTCATATTTATGATACAGTTGCTACCAAAAAGAATTACTTTTTCTAAAATGCTGACAATAAGAGAAATATGTTTCAATAACTTGAAAATAGGCCAGGGATTTAGCTCAGTGGTGCAGCATCCGCCTGGCAAGTGTGAGGTTGTAAGTTCGATTACCAATACCACAAAAAAATTTGAAATTGTCATTGAAAATGTCACTATTCAGAGGAAAACTTGGTCTCCCTCGATGCTGGACAACTAAAGTATGACGTCAAATGATAACCAGGTTTGTGTTTATTACCTTACACACTTGAAATTTAATCTGATGAGCTAGTGAGCTATATTTAAAACCAAAAATCACTATGAAGATTTTCATTCCAAACTAATATTTTTAGTCAGGCATGGTGGCGCATGCCTGTAATCCCAGCACTTGGGAGGCTGAGGCAGGAGGATCACTGTGAGTTTGAGACCAGCCTGGGCTACAAAGTGAGCTCAAGGCCAGCCTGAACTGTGTAGTGAGACCCTGTCTTAAAAAGACCAAAAAAACACAAATTATGAGCCAAACTAGTATTTTTAATATCAGGCATAGCTTTCATAATATAATATTACACATATGTATAATAATATTTTATATATATATAAAGAATTATAAAGCATTTCAAGGCTCAGCACAAGATTCTTTAAACCAGAGGAGTTTTAAGAATGTTTTGTTTTATTTATATTGTCTAAAATTTCAGGGCTGGGGATGTAGCTCAGAGGTGGAGGATTTGCCTAGCATGCACAAGGCCCCAAGTCCAATCCCCGGAACCACAAAAAAAGAAAAAAAAAAAAAAAAAAAAAGTATAAAAAGAGGGCCTATAAAAGTTCAGGTATATTCTTACCAGCAGTACTATTTTAATATTATAGTTAAAAAGTACTTGATGAGTATCTATTTCTTATAAATGAATGTATTTTTTTGGTTATTGTTGTTTTACTGAGACTGGGTCTTACTATGTTGTACAGGGTGAAAATGAACTCCTTGGTTCAAACAATCCTCCTGCCTCAGCACCCGAAGTAGCTGGGCCTATAAATACATACCAATACATCCACTTAATGTGTTATTTTTAAACTAATCTGTTATCAAATGTCTAATCAGGAATGGCAGAATAAATTAAAAACATTTCGTACTGAGTAAATTAGGAACTCATAATTAACGAATGTAACTTAAAATTCAAAGTTTTTAATTCTGTTACCTAATTTTCCCATATTTACTTTTTTAAAATCTAGCTTTTGGAAATAAAGTTTTTTTTGGTACTGCTGGGGATCACACTCAGGGCCTTATGTATGCACTCTACCACTGAGCTACATTCCCAGCTCTAGAAATATGATTTCATCAAGTTAAATTATTTAGAACCCAATTCAATCCAAAATGGATCTAATGTTTTTGCCTCCAGTTACTATTATATTATTTTGGTAAACACTGTTCCTAATTGTATCACTTTTGATAAAGTACCTATTTCCAAAGGCAAATACAGTTTCACTGTAAATATAACAATACTTTGTGCAAATGTGTAAAAGAAGTTGATTCTACTTTTTGTTCTACATTTTATAGAGTATTATACTTCTCTGTTCATTAAACTTGCAACATACATGTTTATTTTTCTACACTCAAAATTATAACTAGTAGTATTCTTTTTATTTTTTTTTCTTTTTTGTGTGTGGTACTGGGGACTGAATCCTGGGTCTTCACACTAAGCTCTAGCTCCAGCCCTTTTTCTTTCCTTTCTTTTTTTTGGGGGGGGTGGGGCACCGGGAATAAACTCAGGACCTCATGTTTGCCAGGCAGGCGCTGCACCACAGAGCTACATTCCCAGCCCCTGCAGCCCTTTTTCTATCTTTCAGAGTCTCACTGAGGCACTAAGCTTCCCAGACTGGGCTCTAGCTTTTTGGTCCTTCTGCCTCAGCCTCCGCAGATACTGGGATTACAGGTATGGGCCACCACGCCCTGCATGTTCTAAGATACACTTTGTAACAATCTCTTGTCAGGTTTCAAAGGATAAAATTCCTGATCCTAAGTTAATAAACGAATATTCCCTAGCAACTTGAAGAGTTTGCCACACATGAGCACTTATCTTTTAAGAAATTACTGAACATTTTAATTAGGTTTTAGTGTCACATGCATGCCAATGAAGCCACTGAGAGAGAAAATGCATTGGAAATGAAGTACAAATGGAATCATTAACTGAAGACGGGCTCCCTGTAACATGGCAGCCACTCTGTAACGGGAGTCTAGGAAGGTGGGTGTTTACCTGAAGGCCCTGGCTGTGCCTGCTTTTCCTTTCAACTCAACTAGTCCTCTCTAGCCAGCTCGAACTGGCCTACGCCAGCTAAAACCAGACTGCTGAATGAGGAAGGAAACAGAGAACACATGGGAGAGAGAAGGTGCAAAGGTCAACCAGACAGTACGCAGAAGCAAGAACGTTAGGAGAAGCAATCAGAGAAGTTATGCACCAGGAAGAGCAGTCAGGAAATTACAAGCATATGAAGTGCATATCCAGTGACTAGGGATATGTTGCGATATTTTGTATACAAGAACCAACAACACAAGGTATTCTCTTAAAGCTCACCTGTGACAGTGAGCAATCTACATTATCCACTATGGACTATAAAAGAATCTATTTTATTTTAAATACAGGTAAAATATTTTCAAAATAAATACCTTAAACTTGTTTCCCACACTGATGAAGCTAAGTTTTCCTGCTTTTTGTTTAGTGTCTTTGTTATTATTTGTGGATGATTCAAATAATTCCCGTATAAACTTATCCCTGGACTCACATATTAAGGATTCAAGAGACATATGTAAAGCATCATTATTTTTCTCCACAAACTGGGTCTGAAAAATAAATCAAATAGAATGTTTCAGTCCATCTGCTGACACACATCCCCAAGCCCACTCTGTCCAGTGGCCCTCTGTGGCAATAGAAATGTTCTTTCTCTGCACCACCAACGCAGCCGCTACAGTTAATATCTACCAGTACCTAAAATGTAGCTGCTGCACTGAAGAACTGAGTTTTACACTTTGTTAAACTTAAATGTAAACAGCCACTCCGAAGCAGCCAGAGGCCATCACAACACGCAGTGCGGCTTCAGCGTCAAGTGGTTTTCTCCCTAGAAACAATGTACTCACTGTTTCGTAGCACACGGCCCCTGCAAAATGCCTGATAATAAAGCCTTCATCATCTCTGAGGTTCCTGTGAACTGCCAGCTTGGATTTCCTGGGAATCTGAAAAACAATACATACGTTATTAAATCCTCGAAAACAGACTACAGAATATTCCTTCAGACAACATTTGAGCTATAAAATACTTAAAATTATGAAGGTAATTTTCACAAGTATACTGCATTTTAAACATTTAGCTTAGAGCACCAGTGAAATCTACCACATATTTGATTATAATCTCTTAGGTGAAAAAAAGAGTATGAAGCCAATGCAAACAGAAAAGCCCATTATTTAGTAGTACAAACCCGAAAGCCCATTATTTAGGAGCAAATGCAAAGCAGAGCTGGCATTTTATAGAATTAAACACCATTTCTAAGCAGTGGCTCCTGACCTTGGTGCTTATTAGCCACCCAGGAAACTTCCAAACCTCCAGAGCCCACAGCTTTTATAGGATTCCCATGTGCTGGCTGTCAAGGACACACCTGAACCCAGCACAAGGTCTCTCCCCGGTTCTAAACCACACCTGCTAGCACGTTCACACAATGAGCCCAAGTCTGTCTCAGAACAACTAAGTGCTTTTATCATGTCACCATAATATCTCATGTCTAAATCATTAAAGTTTCCAAACTCCTTTCACATGCCCACATGTGACCTCTAAGAAACTGAGGATCTAGGAGCCTCAGAGAGGGGCTCGAGGTCAGAGAGCCCCCAGGACACACACGCTCATCTCTGTCTGAGTGCAGACTCCTTGGCCGCCCTGCCTGGCCCCACTCACAAGCCTGGCCACACCCACTGCATCACTCCCCACTTCCTCATCGCTAGCACTAGAACCCTAGTGGATTGTAACAGCAGGTGACTGACAGCGCCCGGCCCATGCTGAGCGCTCCAGAAATGAACTTATTCATTTCCAAATAACTACATTTACAAAAGCTACAGCCTACAACATTAGTCAGAATTCACTGCCTTGTTTTGTGCTTTCAATAAATTAATTGACTCTCAACCCTAACGCTTCCTTTTGCTGTCCTTTAAATTAAATGCCTCTGAGATTCTGATCACAGCTCTGGTAATGAATAACCAGTACTCTCAACAAAAGTAACCATGCAACCGCATGCTGGAAATAGCATAGACCAGGGAGCTGAGAATAAATGGGACTGGAGGCATATCTTCAATTTTAGCATAAGTTTTCTTGAGGATATATATTATTTTGTTTCCACCTCCACCCCAGAGTTAGTAACAGGCTCCAAATTACAACAAATATTTAGGATACAAAACTCCAAGTCAATGGAGCAAGTAGTTCTGGGATCCCAGATCCTAAAGATAACATAATTATACCAGTTTTCCACATAAATCTATTTAACTTATCCACCACTGACTTGTTAAATGATCTTTTCAAACTTGTTTTTAAATTTTCTGTCCTTTTTTAACATATTAATGAGGTACCAGATGATACGTAATGCTTATGCACACTGTAATTCTGTTAACGATGAATGGAAACAAAATAAGCTCCTGTACGCATTGAAGTACTGACTGTCACACAATCTCAGAAGATGCGCAGTATTTACCAACTAGTGGCCAGTTCCCCTGAGTGACTCTAGCCTGCCCTCCCTTCCCACCTCTCCCGGCCCAAACTGCTGTGGTTATCTGTAAGATGAAGTAGGGTGTATCTTTATGGTGGAAATTTCGTATCCACATTTCTCAATGCAAGGATGGAATCATGTTACCTCAGGTAACCATGGCTGAGAGAAAAGACACAGAATTAGGTGAACCCTGGAAGCACATCAGCCACACAACCCAGCCTCACAGAGGAAGGCTCTACTTCTCCGACAAAGACTCAAGCACAGCTCCATGACCCAAAAGCAGTGCAGGAACCTACTTTTTACAAGTGCGGTTATTTCAGTGCACTCTCCTTTATTTCTACTGTTTTCTGTATCTGCCTTTCCCTTTGCACCACCTGATCCTCTATTGCTTCAGTTTCCCTTTCCCCCTCTGAGTAGATTTTCCACTCAAAACACCTTAGGAAAAAGATCAAATGGATGGCTGATCACTACCTGGTATGGGCTGCTTCCACCAGTCAGAGTTGCAAGCTGCTGCCTTTACTGCAGAAATGACAAATGTGCACATGGCTGCTTATTACTCTAGCCGCCAGCCCTGGACCATGACCAAGGTCATATGATAGGAAAAAAGCAACTGATGGCCACTTAGCTCAGAAGGGAGAGCATGAAGGCGGCAGGTAAAGCTCACTGCACGTCTTGGTGAAACATACTTTTCACATAAAGAAATATTCTTGGTCGTGTAAAACACCACCCCCAAATTGTGTGTGTGTGTGTGTGTGTGTGTGTGTAAATTTAATGCCCTCTACAGAAGACTCTGTGCTGGACTCACAGAGTTGCTCTAACCCTTACACAACTGATTTTCTGGAACAGCTAACTAGTGCCTCTTTCTCAAGATCACTCTTCCCACCAGTCTCAGTTTCAGAACGATGAGCTCACAGTGAGTCGGAAATGGTCCTTGTGTTTCTGGTGCACTGCAGATGTGAAGTGCTGGTCGCTTGGCTGCGGAAGGCGATTTTCTTCATCCAAAATATCTAGTATTCCCACTAGTTTCGCTTCAATTAAATCTATTTTGAAAAATAAAGTGAATTTTGATAGTGCAAAAGCATTTTAAAGATATGGTGAACAATTTACTGATCCCACATTTCAAGGATTGGTTAGAAACAATGTAACAGATAACTCTGGAAGTATTTTATCAGCGGCTATTATGAACAGATGGATTTTTATTTGACAGCGGGCCATTTGTTAACAGGTACCATCACAGTTTTAATACAGGTTTTAGAAAAACAATTTCATGGGAAAGCAACTCATACACTAACAATCCCATCTGTAAACTAGAATAAAAGGGTAAGGAATCAGAAATTTCCCTTTACAGATGGCATCTATATTCAAATTGAAAAAAAACTATAGGAGCTTTTGCATGCACAGCATTTTAGTCAAGTGCTTTAACAAAGTGACTCTAGTGCTTTTAGGTGAGACTTTTAGTAAGCACCTTTGTTTTGAGACAAGTGTCTTACTGTTGTCCAGGTCCGCTCTGAAGTCCTGGGCCCAGGTGATCCCGAGCCTGCAGGGACTGGGACTGCAGGTGTGCGCCGCCGCACCCACAAGAGCACATTTTCGTGCTCCTTTGATAGGTGTTGTATAAAGTCCCACCTATCCAAGACAACTTTAAAACTTCTTAAATTCAGTACATAAAACTGTTGAATGGGGCAGGGCTCTAAGACAGCAAGAGAAACCCAGACTGCACTGCCCTGGTCAGAAAAGGACGCTGCCTGGGCAGGGCAAGTTGTGCAGGAGGGGCGCGCTGTGTGTGCAGGTGCTCTCGGGCAGGAGGGCGGGGGCTGCACGCAGAGGGCAGTCGGCAATCCCAGAGCGCACAGCACCGAAGTGGGAAAGGGCGCGGTGCGCTGAGGCAACTGGATGAACCAAGTGCGATGTGACGCTGCCTCAGTCCATCTCCTAGCTCCCCAGAAAACACCCACCAGCGGTGCTTGCGTGACGGCTTTTACTTTAAGAAATGCTCTTTCTGCCTAGAAATAACACCAACAATAGTTTTTACATTTGTTTACACACTGAAAATTAGTCAGTTTTACTTCAGCTTCAAAAATCATGTTTCTGTAAAATTAAATGAGCACAAGCAGCAAGCCGCACTCTTCTCCCTGGGAAATGGATTAGAAGTTGTACCGATGTAACGCTGCTGTTACGCTGTATGTCCAAGTCCAGCACACGAGTCACCGACTGGATCGTTCAACGGGGTTTTCAGAACAAGGTGTGTGCAACAGCCGATTTTGGAGGTGGGGTGGAAAAGGGAAAGAGGACTGGAGGCGGCTGGAAAGGAAGGGCTTTCTTCAGCCCTGCATGGAGCCGAGGCCCCACCCTCTGCGCCCTGCCTGTCTGGGAAGGACAGGAGACCTGCTGACACGGATGTGCAGCCGCGAGAGGGCGCTGCGAGCACCCACAGGCGAACAGAGCCCTAGCAAGCCCAGGCATATCACCCCGCAGGCGGGCCTGAGCGCCGGCTTCACCACACCCGAGGGTGGACCCATCAGCTGCCTGACCAACTCATTGTCGCTCTTCACTGGCTCTTATGTTAGCTTTTCACGTAGGAAAACATGTATCATCATAACTAGAACAATTTTTTTTTAAATTTTCAACAAGGCTAAATTTCATGACTTGACAGGGAAAATAACTTTCAAGCAGTAGAAAAGAAGTACATCTAAAATGTAACAGTTTTCACAGTTTCCTAGTAACATCCATCACAGAGTACAGAAAAAATTACTAATAAACCCACTTACTGCATCTTCCCATACTCCACAAAGGTGAAATAAAAGTAATACATACCTATGCAGTCCTGATTATCCACATAATGCACTTCATTAACACCTAAGCCTTCTTTTTGATAGAGTTCTTGTTCCTATGAATGAAATAATCATAATTATAGATACAGAAATACTACTACATTAAATGAAGTCAATGTTTTGTGCCATTTCCAATCGTAACATTTATTAATATAATGTAAATGTTTATACCAATTACTATAGCCCTACATGGTTTCCAAAGACAGGATAAATTTCGAACATTTGCAGACAGGCATTAATATCAAGGAAACAGCCACTGCTTGCAAATGGGCTCTAAACCCTTCACAGTGAGATAACCTATGTAAGATACAAATCATTTGTGGAAAACTATGTAACTTGTAAGCATAAAACATGTGAAAACTGATCACTAGAAGTAAACCTAATACCTTCTTAAATTTTTTTGAAAAAGATTTTACGCTGTTCTCTGAAACTCAATCTGAATTTAAAATTCACATTTATATTAAAGGATTGTTACAAAACTAAATAGAAATCAGGAAGGTGTCTTCTCTTCACACGGCTCCCATTTCTATGCAAAGCTTCTTGCTGAACTGGCATGAAGAGAAAGGATTACAGTATTTTAAAAGCAAGGGATGGGGGCTGGGGAGGGGGCAGAGGGGTGCGCGGGGAGCACGGGGGGGGGCGAGGGGAGCACGCAGGGGGGGCGCGGGGAGCAAGGGATGGATGTAAAATTTCTCATGGCAGTGAAAGGACTGTGACTGGATAAAACATTTTCAAAGAAATCATTTTGCTCATAAATATTGACAGAAGTGGCTTGCCTATAGCATATAAATAAAAAGGACAAAAGCTGAAACGTGCTGGGAAGCCCATGAAGACAAAAATATAATAAAATTGTGGGAAAAGATACACCACCGAGCAAATGGACTTAAATATCTACACCAAGTGTTTCATCCAACAACAACAGAATACACATTTTTCTCAGCTAACCAAATAACCTAATCATGCAAGTCAACAACAATCCACATCTGAAACTAACAAAAGAAAGTATAAAGGTCAGAGAAGAAATGGATGAAATTGAGACTAAAAAAACAAGATCAATGAATCCAAGAGTCGGTTCTTTGAAAGAACAAACAAGAAAAGCATAGGACCTGATGCATTCACAAAATGTTGCCAGAACTTCAGGGAAGACCTAATGGCATATACCTCAAGCTCTTGCATGAAGGTAAACGGGAAGGAGCACTGCCAAACTCATTGTTGTAAACTATCATTACCCTGATAGCAAAGCCAGACAAAGGCTTACCAAAAACCTTAACTAACATAGGTGAAAAAATCTTCAACAGGATACTGGCAAACAGAAGGCAAAAAATCATTAACAAGATCACACCACTTGACCAAGTAGGTTTCATCCAGGGATGCAAGGATGGTTTGACACACATAAATTGATAAACATAATGTTTCATGTAAACAGAAGGCAAAAAAAACATATAATCTGAATACTAGACACAATAAAGGCTTTTGACAAAATCTAACATCCACTCATAAGAGCCCTGAAGAAAATAGTTATAGAAGAACTGTATCTCAATCTGATAAAAGCCATTTATGACAAACCTACCACCTACATAATATTAAATGGGCAAAAATTGAAAGCTTTTTCTCTAAAATCAGAAACAAGACAAGTATGCTCACTATCACCACTCCTGTTCAATATAGCACTCAAAACCTTAGCAAGAACAATCAGTCAACAAAGAAATAAAAGGAATACATATAGGAAAGGAAGAAGTCAAACTATCCTTATTCAAAGATGACAGGATCCTTTGCATAGAAGACTCAAAAAATTGCACCAAAAGATGCCCACAACTAAAACAAATTCAGCAAGCAATCAGGATACAAACAACACACAAAAATTAAGGGTTCCTGTACACCAAGAATGAACCCACTAAGAAATAAGGTGAGAACACCATTCACAACAGCCTCAAAAAAATTACTTATGAATTAACCTAAAAAAGAAAGTAAAAGATCTCTATTAAAAAAAAAAAAAAAAGAACTCTGACAAGAGATCAGAAAGCTCATGGTCATACCTTCAAAACTGATATATGGATTCAATGCAACCCCAGTCAAAGTAACAACAGCCTTCCTCACAAAACCAGAAGAAAAAATTTTTAAAAACACTCCTAAAATCTATATAGAACCAAGAATAGCCAAAACAATCCTGAGCAACAATAGCAAAGCAGGAGGCATCACCCTCCCAGATTCCGAAACCACTGTGATTTAAAAAAAACACAAACACGCACAAAACACAAAAAACCAACATGGTACTAGCATGAAACAGACATGTAGATCAATGGAATAGAACTCGGGATGCAAAAGCAACGTGAGGCACATTCAGCCACGAGATCTTTCATACAGGGACCAAAAACAGTGGCGCTAAGAAAAGCAATTGTCCATGTGCAGAAACAATGAATTCAGACCATAACTCTTACCCTGTACTAAAATCAAATCAAAATGGATCAAAGACCTTGACTTTAAAACAGAAATCAAACTAAAACAGAAATGCTGAACCTTCTGGAAGATAAAATGTGTCAAACTCCTGAAGACATAAGTGTAAGCAAGGACTTTCAGAATAGAACCTCAATTGCACAAGAAATGACACCAAAAGTCAATAAATTAATTATATCAAATTAAAAAGCCTCTGCACAGCAAGGGAAACAACCAACAGAGTGAAAAGCCAATCTACAGAGTTGGAAAAAATTTTGCCACCTACTCCTTGGACAGAAGACTAACACCTAGAATATATGAAGACTCAAATAATTAGATCCTCCAAAAATAAAAGAGCTAATCAAAAAATGGGCCACTGAAATGAATAAGGAGGTGGAGAAGGGAGAGGAGGAGCAGGAGAAAGGACAGGAGGGGGAGGAAAAGGGGAAGAGGAAGAGAAGGAGAAGAAATACAAATGGCTAGTATTTAGAAAAGGAAGAACAAATGACTAATATGTACATGACAAAATATTGACCATCTTTGGCCATTAAAGAAATGCAAATCAAAACAACACTGAAATTCCTTCCTAAAAAATGAAGTTCCATCCTACTCAGAAACGAAAGTGCACAGGGCCCTGGGTTCGATCCCCAGTACCACACACACAATAAAGAAAAGCTGCCAGGCACGGGGGCACATGCCTGTAATCCCAGTACTCGGGAGGCTGAGGCAGGAAGATCACTGTGAGTTCCAGGCCAGCCTGGGCTACATAGCAAGTTCAAGGCCAGCCTGAACTGCATAGCAAGACCCTGTCTCCAAAAGAAAGAGGGGAGGAGGAGAAGCCATCTTCAAGGCCTAGTTCTGCACTGTTTTGTGAGACAGGATCTCACTATGTAGTCACAGTCCCAGCTGGTCTTGAATTTGAGACCCTCCTGCCTCAGCTTCACAAGTGTTACAGGCATGTACCACCACACTCAGCATACACTGAGACCATAATGACAAGCAAAATACATCAAACACACAAGCTTAACTATCACACAGTTTCCCCTATATGAGAAACCCATGGGCGGGGGACATAGCGCAGTGGCACAGCGCCTGCTTGGCAAGAGCATGGTCATGAGTTTGGATTCTTGGTACCAAAAAAAAAAAGAGAGACAGAGAGAGAAACCCAAAGTATGAATAATTTAAAAAGCAAAAGAAAAGACAGGCGACAGGCAACAGGGAAAGAGCATCTTTTGCAAAAGGAAAGGGATCTGGGGGAGGGGCTAAAGAGAATTAAGATGTGCTGTGTGCCGCATCGACTCCCCACCATACATGTAAGCATTACATGTTAACATGTACTTTAAAAAGAGAACTCAAAAACAACAAATGCTAGCAAGGTTGTGGGGAAAATGAAACCCTTCTACATTTTTGGTAGAAATGTAAACAATTGCAACCAATATGTAAATAAGTATGAAGATTCTTCAAATAACTCAAAGTAGGAATTCCCTTTTACCAAGTAATACTTCTGTACATTCACCCAAAGAGTTAAGTCATCACATTACTGTGACACGTGCGCATGTTATAACAGCACAGCTCGTAACAGATACCTTCCAAGTGCCTTACAGGCTGGCCATCAACATGAGTGGATAAAGAAAATGTGGTACATATACACAATGGAGTACTACTAATCCATAAAAAGGGATAAATCTGAGCCATCTAGAGGAAACTAGATGCAACTTGAGAACTATAATGCTAAGTGAAATAAACCAGATACACAAGGTTAAATGTTGCACAGTTTCTCTTACCTGAGAAACACAAAGTATAAATAATTTAAAGTACAAAATAAAAGACAGATCATAATAATAGATATTGGGAAAGAGGAAGAAAATGTTCAAATTAGAAGAGGAACAAGGGAAGGGGAAGAGGGTAGGAAGGAAGAGACAAGAAAAAAAGAATAGAAGAAAAAAAGGGAAACAAAGCTTTTGTAAATGAGCAGGGGAAGACAGTCTGAAGGGAGGGGAGGAAATGGAAAAAAAGAAGCAAGACGTGTCATGTACAGTGCAGATTCCCCATGAGGAATGTGATCATTACGTATATCTAAAACGTACCTATGAAAAAAAAGACAGATCACAGGACACAGGGAGGCAGATCTGTGGAGATGGAAGGGAACCCGGGATGAGGGCAAAAGAAGGGCAAGGAGGAGAAGGAGAGGTAAAAATTAAGACGCAACAAGTACACGCACCAATTCCCCAAGATGAGTGCAATTTTTATGTATTGCAAACAGACTATTAAAACAGAAACTAATAACAGAACTAGATTAGAATGGCAATTACCTCCTTAAGAATCCTCTCATTAAAGAATTGTTGGAGTTTTTCATTGCAGTAGTTGATACAAAACTGTTCAAAACTGTTATGTTCAAAGTACTCTGAAAACAAAACCAGAGCCAAAGTCATCATCATCAGAGCAAATTCACATAAATTTACCTCACAATAGAACGTAACCATGACAATTTAAGATTAGGCTAAAAACACATGTAACTGTTTTATACCCCCCAAATGTTTTTATTTCAAGACAAATGTTATTAGCCATTAAAATTAAGTATTAAAAAAATCTTGCTCCAACTGACAAAAAGGCATTGGTCAGATGAGGTAACTGTCATAAAGTAAAAATATAATGCAACCACTCATAGTTTTTTTAAAGCAATCCAAAGTACAAATAACTTAAAATGCAATTCTTCCACAGATGTTTTTGTGCTTGATCTGTAAAACCATAGTTATCAAAAAACGTTACGGACACTGATTCTTTTCTAAAATTAAGAGATTATCTTGCATCATGTTTTAAGATCCACAAACCTCTGCAATTTTACGATGTTGCATGTATGTGCTGTATGCAAAGCTACTGCAGATGACAAAAAACACAACTAAAGACAGTGAAGTCTTAAGTCAGTGAGGGGTTTTATCTGCCTCTGAACTGAACGTAACAATTTATTGTAAATTTACAAATACATACCGCATCAAAAGCAAAACTCTGTCCCTCTCCAAATGTAAACACTCTGATCTTCCCTTGACAAAGGCAAACAAACCACAAGCGAGAAATACACCAACTCCTTCAGGTCAGCAGAAACCCATATGACAGAGCCCAGTGTAAAACCACCAGATTTACTTCAAGATCTTGGCAGCACAGTCATTCAGAGCGCAGCCGAACTCAGACTGTACTGAGCGGTCCACTTCATGTCCGGCTGCACACCGCAGCCACCCACTGTGACTTATCTTGGTGTCACCCTCACTTGGTGGACAAGGAAAAGGAAACCGCTGCTATTGTCAACACTAGTGGTGAAATGTACACATAGCTGTGCGGATGGCCTGTACCAGCGGTGGTGAACCCACGACACGCAGTCTACAGCCAGCTGTTTCTCACCACTCCACACTCTAAGAGCTTGCCATCACAGCCTATATTTACATTAACCTGCACTCAAAGCGACATGTTAGTCAACGGCTTTAACGCCTTCATTATCCTAGTTAGCAAGAATCAAGGGTCTACCTTATCCCAGTCACACAGTACTCATTTACGGGAACACAGCCATCTTAACTATCCTGCTTTTAATCAGCATGCTTTAACCTTAGCTTCAAAACCACCCTCAAGGAGTCTTTTTTAAAACATCAGCTTCCTCAGCCTGTATGCCTGTCAACAGATAAATGGTATGGTATACATAAAATGGACTACTACTCAGCCATAAAGAAGGATGAATGTGTGTCATCTGCAGGAAAGTGGATGACCTTGAAACTACAATGCCAAGTGAAATAAATCAGACACAAGATTAAATATAACACGGTTTCTCTTATCAGAGAAACCCAAAATACAAGTAATTTAAAATCAAAGTCACGTGATAGGAAACAGAGAGGTAACTCTGTGGAGATGGGAGAGGATCTAGGGATGTGGGAGACAGAAGTAGGGGAAGAAATAAACATGATTAAGATGCAATACACATACGTGCCCATTTGGACTGTGTCTAGTATCTGTCCCAAACTTACACGGATAAAGAAAGGCAAGATGTAAAACTATGGGGGAGGTGGGGCAGAAGAGTGAAGGGAGTGAAACCAAAGTATGCTGTGGACGTGCACGAATCTGCCGACACGGAACCACTGACAAGCAGAGCCCACGCACAGCAAGAGAACAAGAAACAAGGCCACAGCGTCAGCTTCCTGTGTAGGTCACAGCATGAGATGCAGGTACCAGCATGTAACTGAAAATATACCACGTGGAAGACATCAGAGGAGAGCTGTTAAAGGTGCGCTTAACATGTGAAAAGGAATACAGGACACACACAAACTCACAGAAGAACCTATACTTACCAAAGCCGGCGATATCCAAGACTCCAATAAAACAGGAGGATGTTTCAAAAGGGAAACACTGATTCACTCTGTTCACCACATGGTCGAAGAGATGGCTGTAGACAGTCTTCGCGAGGGCATCACGGGCACTGTTTGCTTGCTCCACTTTCAGAGGGACCCTGGGAGGGAGGAAGAGGCTCTGCCACAGCGGTACAGGGAGGAGCCGGGAGCCCAACGTCCGCAGCATCACACTGCGACGACACAGGCCCCGAGGTCCCACGGGACCAGCGCAAATGAGTGGGGCTAAGGAGAAAAGCTGAGAGAAGACCCAGCTATTCCCCTTCTAGGGCTCTTCCCAGAAGACTTAAAAGCATCATACCACAGTGATACATGCTCACTCGTATCTATAGCAGCACAATTTATAACAGCTCAATCATGGATGTCCATCAACAAATGAATGGATAATGAAAATGTGGTATGTAGATACAACGGAGTACTGCTCTGCCATAAAGCAGCATAAATTTGGGTCATTTGTAGGTAAATGGATGCACCTCAAAACCATAATTTTAAGTGAAACAAACCAGGCACACAAGTTTAAATATCACACTTTCTCTTGTGTGAGAAACCCAAAGGGTGAACGAAGAGCAAAGCGGAGGACAGGTACTGGAAGCAGGAAGAACACGTTCACATGGAAAGGGGAACAGGGCGGAGAGAAGGACGGGAAAAAAATGAAAGCAACACCTCTGTCAGTGGAGAAGGAAAGGAAGACTGAAGGAGAGGAGGGGTGAGAACAAGCGTTAAGATGAACACACAAATAAACTCCCTGTGACAAGCACGCCACTACACATGGTAAATCTGTACTCATAAAAAGTAGGTACACAGGTTTGAAAGAGAGTGTGGGCCTCCAGAGAACAGGCCGCTACAGCCTGGAGCTGGGGATATTTACGTGCTTTGGGAGGAGAACTCTGTGGACTCTGTCACTCCACAGAGAGCTTGGCCTTGCTTCATAGGAGAAAATCTAAGAGCCACCCAGAAGTAGGAAGATAACGGCTCATTTCACACATGAGAGGATGCCCCATTTTAGAGGGGAAGACAGGGCGCCAGTTTATTGTCTTTCTTGAGGTCAAGTTTCTGCCCTAACAGAGTCAAATTTGGAGGTATTTTTAACGCTCAGTTAGGTCAGCCTGACACTCGAGTCCCCACTGACCCGTACCTTTCCCGCTTATATTGCCGGCAATGGAAGCTTTTCTCGAAGTGAGTTTTATCAGTTTTATGTGGCCACCCCGTCCAGGAATCATAAACAGAACTGCTTGAGAAGAACTCTGAGGGCCGCTCCTGGCCCTTCTGGGCCTTCTCTGGAGCCGAGGGGAACCTCCAAGGAGCCCAGCAAAGGCAGGCCTGTCACACACGGATGGAAAATGTCCTCCGGGTCCCAGGTGCCGAGAGGCAGGCTGTGGGGAGCGAGGGATGGTGAGGGCTCCACTGCACAGAGCACCAACCACGGACAGGACCACAGCCCGACGCCCAGGGAGAGGCACAGAAACTCAGGAGGTGGGCGCAGCCGGAGGGCACCGAGCTGTGACACCCGAGACCGAGCCCTGTGTGCTGCCTCCTCTCTGCTTCGTCTGCCACCGTGCAGGGAGCAGCTTCCCAGCCCATGTCCCTCCCCACGACGCTGCCCTCCCCACCGGCCTGAAAGCAGCACAGCTGGCGGACCACGGACGGAAACCTTTGAAAGGGGCTTGCTGAGGTATCCAGTCACAGAGATGAAACGTGAGTTACTCCGGCACTGCTCTGTAAACTCCCCACAGGGCTTTTCTTTATGATAGTAATGTTAGAGATAGCAAGAATAAAATTCAGACTAAGCATACCTTCCTAATATCTCTAAAGTATACGAGGTAGCAAAATTTTTTATTGGTTGAAAACTTTCCAAAAATCTTTAGCTGGGTGCGGTGGCACACACCTGTGGTCCCAGCTACACAGGAGGCTGAGACAAGAGGATTGCTTGAGCCCAGCAATTCAAGGCCAGCCTAGGAAACCTAACCAGGCTCTGTCTCTTAAAAAATAGATAAATATAAGAAAATAAATAAAACAAAAATATTTTATCCACTAAAAGAAGATATTTATATTAACTTTTTAAATATTTGTGAAATAAGTCATTGATTCAGTCAACCTTATTTAGGAAGGGATAGAGGGACTTGACCGTCTTCCCTTACAAAGGAAGCCTAAATATCACTTTCATTCCATAATACCAGAAACAGACATGCACACAGTTTAGGATACTGAGCCCAAACTGTACAATACCTTGGCATAAGCTAGAAACCTTGGTTACTGGTTTTAAAAATCTAAGCCGGGCCTTTGTTTGCTTTCCATTTGCAATTCCCTCTAAACGAAGAACTCGAAGGACAAGGAGAAATTCCATTTGCTGAATATTCTGCTAAAGTGAGTTCTACTTAGTGAAAGTTTCAGTTCTTACCATTTGCATAGGAATCACGTTTAAAATAAAATGGCCCACTGCCTAAAACAGGCAGAGACTGATTTACACAATGTGTGTGTACTCTTCTAGTTGTGTAAGTGTAAACCTGTCTCTTACCTTACAAATTTCATCTGTGCACACAGAATAACTGTTAAAAACAATTTTACAAGCCACGCAAACCTCTACACATGTATATGGCAGATAACTGAAATCCAATGTACAGAATTTTGACCTACCAAGCACAGCTTGTGAAATATCAAAATGAAAAACAATGAGGGAGGTAAAAAGATCAACCCAAAATCTCAGTGTTACCAAAAATGTTCCCCTTGACCATCTGCGAGGCTAGATCTCGTGAGGCTGGGAGTGAGGACACTTACTTTATGACTGTGCCTTTGGCGCCCCCTGCTGTCGTCAGCATCACTCTTGTAGTTAAACTCACTCGGAGATCATCTTGGTCCAAACCCAGTAACTCGGCACAGTATTCTAACGACTGAGTAGATTTGTTCTTCAGATTGCAACCACCTAGTGAGATACATTTTAATTTGAAATGAATAAATACTATTTAAGCCAGAATTTTAAGTTTAGAAGTAAGCCTCACTCATATAAAATTATGGAATAGACCAGGCTTACTTGTCACTCAGCCACTCCTCCCACCCTCAGCAGACACTCAAGGCGAGCGCACAGCCAGCAGTCCAGCGTCTGCGCTTCTGCAGTGCACGGTGTCAGCCACTTGCCACCCAGTGCAGTCCGAAAACGAACAACTGGTAAGATTCAAATCATGAGCCCTTCTGCGCATCGTGACAGAATCTTGTGCCACCTTTCCAGGGGCCTCAATCGGCCCCCAGCTGAGCGCACTCACGTTGAAATTAAAAGCTTACCACCAATAATTCACTTAAATAGAGCTTCTTTTTATCCTATTGCAAAGTTTCTCATAGAACTCCAGGAATTATGACAGCTAAGAAAACAATGATTTTTTAAGTAGTCTTAAAAACAGAAAAGACTATAATGTAAAGTTTTCATGTCACTCCCTTTCCAAAAAATAGCTCTGTACATTTTTAGAATATGGGGCCATAATAACATACATGTTTGTTACATGCAATTTCAAACACGCCAGCAGTCCCAATAAGTATGTTCTCCCTTTCCATCATGCAGAAGGTTTTTAAAAATGATTGTCAATGGTCTTATCATTGAAGAATACACTTTCCAATAAAATAATTATAAAAATACGGAGTTCCTTTTTTCCAAATTGCTAGGACATGCCAAAATTGAGTTGGGGGGGGCGGGGAGGGTAACGGTTCTATTTAAGAAATCATTTGGACAGAAAGATTAAAATGGATACAATAAAACCTTAGCTATTTAAAATTACAATAACCTAATTCATTAATCCCCTGCTCCCCGCCTATTCCAGTCCTCCCGCACTCTCCTGCCCCTCGGCCGCTGACCGCGAGCGCAGGCCCGGCACGGGCACCGCCGCCGCTCCCGGGGTGAAGGCGCCCGCCGCCGCTGGGGGCGCCCAAGGCTGCCGAGCTCCCCGCGCTCTGGGCCGTCACGCGCCCCTCGCGCAGCACCGGAACACACGGACCTGTGTTAGCACCGCCCCGCTCCCTCAAACACTGCACATTCAATGTGCACTTAGAATAACCGAATCTGGCTCGACTTCCTTTCATGCTGAGCAGGAAGGAGTCTTCATTCATTCACACTCTCTTCACAGCGCCTCAACCTGCCAAACCCAAGTGCGAGGACCCCTGTGTAAAGTCTGAGCTCGGCCGCTGCTCTGCACAGCTGCGGCAGGGGCTGCGGTGCCCTGTGCAGAGGATCCAGGCTCAGCCCGCCCCGCGTGGGCGAGGATCCAGGCTCAGCCCGCCCCGGGTCACCCGCCGCCAGCGCCGTCCACTAAGAGGCTCCCTGTCATGCGCTTGTCTGGCGTTTCCGATCGCTGGATCTCTCGATCTCTAGGGAGGCTGCCTCTGAAAGTCACCCGAACTGTCCAGTCCCCTCCACTGCCCCACAGGGCACACGGCTCGGCAGCCTAGCGCACTAGGGACATCATCACAAGTTCCTGACTGAAGTCACGCCAGCACAGAGCAAGCTTCACACCTGAAATATCGGCAGTAGTCACACACACTGCTTAAATTCTCCATCGGCTCCACTCTGCAAATGCAGGTGGTATCACCTACCTATTTCTGTAGCATTTCAATTGTGATTATATTTAACATGAAACACAGGCTATGAAGAGTTTTGCACAGAGCAGACTTTTTTCTTCTTTTTGGCGGTCCGGGGATTCGAACCCGGGACCTCAAGAATTCTATGCAAGTGCTCTACTGCTGAGATACAACCCATTCCAGACACACTCTTAAAGGTTCTTCTGCCTTCCCTGAGCGCCCTTTCGTGCAAGCATGTCCTCACTAAGCACTTCCCTTTAAAAGCACTTCGCATGGGTTATCTCATTTTACAAGTGAAAAACATTGAGGCTCAGGGAGCCTCAGGACCTGACACAGAAACCCGTGTTCCTGGACTGCTGCAGGAGGTGGTGCCCAGGCTGTCCCTCGCTCGGCCTTGGCATAAAATTGGGAACAACTCATAAATGCAGACTGACGATCTTTTTCTCTCCAGGGCCAGACAGTAAATATTTCGGCCTTTGCAGGACATGCCATCCGTGTGGCAACTACTCCCTGCTGCCCTGTGCCTGTAACAACGGCGCAGACATCTGCAGCCGGACACTGGGCTCCACTGACATCGCAGTTACAGGAACACATGCAGACCTAGACAGGGCTACAGGCCACACTGCCAATCCCGTACTCATGAATCAGTCATAATCATGTAAAGTGTTACCGTTTACTGGAAACTGACAACGGAAGTAGAAAAGTTACTATTCACCAGGCATTTAGATACTCTTCAATTTCCATAACAATGAAAATTTTAATTTATTTTCATTTCCCATTCTCAAGGAATTGAACGCAATGCCTTTACACTAAGCTATACGCCTAGCCCTCTTATATTTTATTTTGAAACAGAATGCCGCTAAATCTCTAAAATTGCCCACACTGGGCTTGAACTTGGAATCCTCCTGCCTCAGCCTCCAAGAGTGTTGGGATTACAAACACGCGGCACCACACCCAACTAAGTATATGGGTTTTTATGTATTAAACTGCCCTAATCTATTAAATGATCCAAATTTAGACAGTGAATCAGAAAATTTTCCAAAAAACTCTTAGTAGATGACAGAGAATTAATCTGCTAATTATTAAAATAATTTTAGTTGGAAAATTTACCTAAATATGGCCCTACTAGTCAGAGCTACTAGCTTGTTCAAAACAAAGCTCACAACGACGCATCTGATTTGCCAGATTCATCACATAACAAAGTATGCTCTAGAAATTCTAACAAACCTGCATATAACTAGACTTGACTTTCATATGGCCAAGAAATGACAGAAATTCTAATTTTATTCCTCTAGAACAGAACAAAACAAAACCTGAAGTGCTGCCAGCTTCTTCAAAATCAATATTTCCAAGGTGCAGGACACCAGCTACAACTCGGAATAGATCGAGCTTTTCCTCATCACCCAGGCCAATCTTTCTCATGGCTGTGCACATGCGAATGAAGTCTCCGTGGTCATCTAACAAAGGGTCTTTCAAGGAACCAGCCTTAAGATACTACAGGACAAAAAGGTATCAGTTAACTGGTCTTAATATTATTTAGTAAATGAGAAGTACTGTATCAGGTCTATTATTGCAATACAGAACATGCAAAAATAAAATTTGTCAACAGAAAAACTTAAGCATTTCCTAGCACATTCGAAAACTTACTGTAAGTATACAAAAGACCTCTATTAACTTTTTCTTATAACTATATGTAAAGTCTACAAGTATTTCCACAGAACTTTCAATTAAAAGAAGGAATGAGATTATTTGTGATTAAATTAGAACTTTAACTCTGGGATATTAGATAAAGATATAAATTTAGAGAAAGAGCAGAAAATATCTATGGCTGAAATGAAAATCCTCAGATCATAAAGAACTGAGGTGGTAACAGATACATTAATAATTTAATTATTCCACAATTTGATATAATTCCAAAACAGTACATTGTACCCTAAGGTGTTTACATATATATACAATTTTTGTTTGTCAATTAAAAATAAAGAAAAAAAGGCTAAAATTGAACAAAAATGTAAATCTAACAATTCGCATTACACTACTGTACATTAGGTTAACTCTCACCAACTACACAGTGTTAAAAGGACGTATATACCAGGCACAGTGATATAAACTGCGGTCCAGAGAATCTTTTTTAACCTTTTTGTGTAAGTACATACAGGGCAAAGTACATCAGAAAGCATGTTAATTACTCTAGGAATTCATACAACAACTTAAAATATTTCAGAAATAATGAAGAGATCTGCTTTCTCTCCTAAAAGAACTTGCATCTGAAGTATTCATTTAGGAGAACCTATAAAAACTAAGAAGAAAAGATGAAAGGCCCACAAAAGCTAGAAAGAGAAACATAAAAGTTACTGGACACAGAATAAAAGTGGTCTAGGAATTTTCCAGAACTTCAGAGTGAAGATGTTAAAATCAGGAAACACGGCATCACCATTATTTGGCATTAAAGTTGCTTCTAGATGGTTTTTTTTTTTTTTTTTCTTAACAATAAACAAATGCTTCCCAGCTAAAGCTGTAATTGTTTTTCCACAAAATTTTTTTTCCTAGTATGTTCTGAGTTTTTTGTAGTAATAAGGATTAAACCCAGGGCCTTCACACCAAACTGTACCACTGGCCCGTTTTAAATTCTTCGGCAGAGTCTCTACGTTGCTAAGGTGGCCTGGCTGGGCTCAGATCTGTGACTCTTCTGCTTCAGCCTTCCACAGTGTGGAGATTATGGGTACATGCCACCACTATGCCCCATCCACAAATTCTCTGAAACATTCAATTACGTGTGAAATTTCTGGAAAATGTCTAAAACACGGAATTCCATTTTATTCTCAAAAAGAAGCAAAGGAAACAATCACATGCAGCCAGAGTTAACAGAACACACAAATGCAGAATTTTTAGTTTGCAGTAGAATATCTGCTTCATTTAAAACTTATTTCTAATCAAATGCTAATATATGTATCTGCTATATGGCAGACTAAAAATACTGCATCCTCCTAAAAATTACACACAACTTAAAGACATTCAAGTGAAATTAGGCAAAGGTTTAATTAGTTAAATGATCACCTCTTCCTCCTGATAAAGACGACATAAAAAGTAATTTAAACATTATTAATGCACTGATCAACTAACATATAATATACACACCCTCCCTCTTCCTGCACCCCAGGAAGGAGAGTGACATTTCTGACACAGTATCCGACTCTAGAATAAGAAAGAGTGCACTTCCTCTCTGGGGAGCACATGCCAGTTCTCCGTCCTTTCTTCTAGTTTCTATGCCAAAAGATCACATTCATATACATAATTTTATATATCTATTTTCATATATGTACAAAATGTGTATTTTCTGCTTTAGGACAGCTGCAATGTCCTAAGAAATGTCTTGATTATCTTTGTGGGAAGAATACAACCTCTACTCTTTTTGATGTCTTTTTAAAAGTACAGTCTTATCAAGACAAAGAAAGATACCATAATAAATATTAATGTTGCTTTTTAAAGTCCCAACCAGGGCTGCAATGTAGTTTATGATTTCAGGTATCTGTGTCTAAAATGATACATAAAATGTTGATTTAAAAAATTATCTGCACACTTATCTGCTTAGAATCTGAAATGATGCAAACTTTCTGTTCTTCTGTATAAATATACATTAAGACAAAATTCATCTTACCTATTGTGAGAGAAGTCAAAATAGCTGGTTCACACATGTGGAAGAATCAAAAACTAACTACAATAAAAACCTGCTCAATTAAATATCATTTAATAAAATCAGTAAAGGCAACAGTAACTATTAACCTTAACTGTTCTTGACTTCATTTTCGTAATTTAAGGCCCCTGTGCAGACACAGTTTAATCCCACTTACTCATGACATACTAGAATTTATAAAGATTGTGGGTAAAGATTTAATGTTCTAAAAAGTTATACTTAATACATAATTACAGTTAATTACTCTTAGAAGTGAAATAATTTAACAAGACCAAAATATAAAACTTTTCACAATATATTCCAGAATGTAACGTTGTTTTTATTTATTTTTTTTTTTTTTGCAGTACCGGGGATCGAACTCAGGAACTTAAAGCGCTTATGTGCCACTTCGCTATATCCCCAGCCCTGGAATGTAATATTTTAAAGAGAGATGCTACCATATATAAGCAGCCTTTCACAAGAATGTATAGTCTATTTCTTGCTGGTTTCAAACCTCATCCAAACCTTGAAACAGACAATAAATTAAAGACATATTTTATTTTTAATCCAAACAGGTCATAAAAAGGATGTTTCAACGTGCCAAAAGGTGCTGTCCACGGGTGACTCGGGCTTCACCCCGGAAGCAGACTGAGAGGAAAGCCATGAGGCCCCGCGGATGCCACCGAGGGGCAAAGTGCTACACACGAGGGGCTGGGATGTGGACTAAGGTTTCTCACAGACAAGCCTGGCGGTAAGAAATCTTATTTGGGCTCCAAAGTGAAAAATGTTTCTTTCAGCATGATTTGTTCTGCATTAAGCGTTTTAATTTTTAAAAAACAGTCTACTGTACCTCAGGACTTTTACGGTTCTGCAAAATCTGTTTGTCAGTTTCTTTGTTGGCAAAGTACCTGGTGCAGCCTCGGTTTAAATACTATAACAAAGAAATTTAACTATGATTAACATATACGATCCACAGAGAAATAATATAAAAGAAGACGAAATTTATCAAACAGTGCCAACCACAGTGAATTTCTACACATAAATATTAATCTCTCAATTAAAACCAATACTTCTACAAGGAGGGGAAGAGGAGTTAAAGGGAGGATAGGGGATGGGGACAAAAGGAATCAAGTTATATCACATACAGACACAAACGCCCTACGATGCACATGATCACTATGTATACATAAAATGTACCAACAAACTTAATTTTTAAAAAAATCTGTATTTCTACATTTTATAAGCATTTTAATTCAACAGATAAAAGGAAGATATTTAAAAATTCTAACCTCTGAAAGTAGATTAAATGTAATGATTTAAAAAGAAAAATCAATACCATAATCCTCTACTTTTAAAGGGCTGAAATTTCTAATATCAACTATCTTTTTTTAAATATAGTTTATAACATTAAACACTACAGACAATAAGAAAAATAACTTTCCCATGAAATATGCCGACTCTTAAACAAGGGAGCACATGGTGGTTTAATATTTCAATCCCTTGAATTCTAAATAATTAGGATATATTATCCTCCATTTCTCAGTTTTAGACTATTCTTTGAAATATCACTTTCACATTTATTGACAATTAACAGCAACTATTTATAAATTACAGTATTTGCTTTATGGATCAAATATTTCAGTTTTCTTATTTCAATTATTTACACTGGTCCCCCAAAGCATTGTTAAAGCTAAATGTTTTCAAAACATAGAACAAAGGGAGCCACTGGATAAAAGCAGAGGTTGAGCGTTTTCAATTTCAGATTTTCTATGCAAATATTCCAAAATCCAAAACTCCAAACTCCTGACTTTTTTTGGTTTTGTTTTGTTTCTTCAGATGAAGTTCCCCTATGGATTTCAGACTGCCTCGAACTCCTCCTGCCTAACCTTGCCAAGTGCTGCGATTACAGATGTGTGCCACCACACCCAGGCAACAGCAACGCCTCCGGTCCCAGCCACTTCAGATAAAAGATGTTCAATCTGCAATGTACTGTTACAAAGAGAACCTGCTACAGTACTCACATTTATGAGGAGTCAGGAAGGAAGTACACAGAAATCGGATGGAAAGAAGTATTTTTAAAATACTGGCTTCTCTTCAACCGGTCACTAGGATTCCACTATAAAATACCATGAATTATAAGATAAAAAGTATGTGTCTATGTGTGTGTGTGTGTGTGTGTGTGTGTGTGTGTGTAGCTCAGAAAAAATTACTGTAAATTTGAATAATTCATGGGACAAATATTTTAGATGATCAATGCATCTATCACTCCCCTTCCATTTTAATTAAATACTAAAATACAGCAAAATCAGACAGTGACTTCACAGGTTTTTTTTCTTCCCTGAATCTTGTTTTTTGTTTTTGTTTTTGTTTTTTTTTTTGGTTTTTCTCCGGTACCGGGAACCGAACTCACAACCTTGCACTTGCCAGGCAGGCGCTTTTGCCGCTGAGCTAAATCCCCAGCCCCTCTTCCCTGAATCTTTAAGGTAAAAAAGGAGAGGGAATATAAGGCTGCTAAGCATTTTCAATTGACTATTTCAAACAAAAGCTCTTCTTACTTCATAGAGTAATTCTAATTTAAACACAAGGTCAAAACAAATGTTTCACTTGCTAGAGAGTGTTTTTATCTCCCAATGCTAATATTTCACTCGAATATTTGACTTATAAACAATTACAGCTAGCATTAGTCCCTAGTCCAGCACTTGTACAGGGGCCAGGATTCAACCCCTAGAACAGCAAAAACTTAAAAACCCAGAAAGAGACCTGTTTCTTCCACCTTCTCTACATGAGCAGCAGTTACCACTCCTACCGCTCACATTCGCTCTATCCAGCTTTCATTATGTTCAACGGTGTTTGTACCACTACAGCAAATGTGCCCATGAATTCCAAAGTACTACTCTAAAATTTAATAAAATGGGCATTTTAAATCTTTAATTTCCTAAAACACAGTACATGTGCAGTTAAAATAAATGTTTCCAAACAAGTATATTTCTACCATTCTTGATGAGCCAATCTGGATAAAATAATGGCAGAAAAATCCAACTATTTTAGAAGCGTACACCCTAACATAGGGCTCTCCTTTGTACACAACGTGTTCTATCGGGCATAACTAGAGAGCTTAACTATAAAAAAAACTGATGAAATTACCAACATTCTCAAATCTACGTGAGCTGGATGATTTGGGAGGGAGCAAAGAGTGTGTGTGCTGGCGTGAGGGGAGGGTGTGAGGTGGCAAGTGCGCGCTCTCCCCCTCCGCCTGTCACAGGGAGGACTGTGCTGCGACAAAGGACATCACACCTGCTGCTTCACTTTGCAAGGCAAGAAACGTGACATGCTGACAAGGCCTGATGGTTGTTACAGTTTATGACTCAAAGTAAGTCACGTTCCCTTTCTAAAAACAACAGTGAAGACTGTCTCTTCTATCTTCATGAAGACAATAATGTTAGCAACTAACTGCAAATTTCAATTAGGAGGGACACCCAGCATCAAGTGGGCAGCGCGTCTGTTCACAGGACGATGGTCCCAAGTGTCAGTGCTCAGGGAGGCGTTGGATGTTTAGGGCATACCACCCACAGAAAAATTACTGATAAACTGATGAAACTCTTTTCATATTTCCTATTTTATTTTATTTTAAAGAAAGTAAATGAGGAAAAAAGAAGAACAATAGCAGCATACCAGCCTCACAGACATAAACAAACCAAAGCAAGAACATTTAAAGTGATACAGGGTTTCAAGACAAAATAATATGAATTAACAGTGGTTGTTATATTACATATTGCTATCCTCAACTATGTTGCTCAGGTTACCAGACATATTTCCTATTATCACACAAAACTGTTTTTTGTTTTTTTTTGTTTGTTTGTTGTTTTTTTTCTGGTACCGGGAATCGAACTTACGACCTTGCACTTGCCAGGCAGGCGCTGGGCCACTGAGCTAAATCCCCAGCCTATCACACAAAATTAATAAAAAACTTTGCACTTTTTAGTCATCCTGTATTTAACCAAGAGGACTGGCAAGTGGTTAATATGAAGTAGTTAATATGTCTGGCCTTTTCTACACAAGGCCAGACATTTTAGGAGCACATAAAGAGATCTCCCAATATACTTACACTACTTGCAGTGAAAGCGAAGCTGTCTGCAAAAACATGAATAAACACATAGAGGAATAATTAAATGTAATAATAAGGGTCATGTTTCTCAAATAGACCACTCCTGCCCAAAAGGACTAGCAGAATCACTTGGGGACTCTGTCCAAACTACATTCCTTATTCCCATTCCATGAGAGTCACACTACCAGTCAGGAGCACTACCTTCTAGCTGAGATTTTGTACATTATGTCACCCATCCCAATCACCACTTCTTGATACTCTACGACCCAGGCTTGTGATTCGCTACACTCCTCATAATTCCAAATGACCTTCCTTTCTTGGGCAACTTTTCGTCTGCATATCCCTGTCAGCTCCAGGTTGGGATCTTGGCACACGCTTCTCTACATTATGCCTGGGCAATCCCATGTGCTCGCTGCCATTGTTATAACTATCACCTAAGTACTGGAATTTAGCAAAATTCTATCTCTAGCACTAGCACTAATCTTCACACTAGTGTTTCTGTCTTCCAGACATCTCCACATAGATGACCCATCCTCTATGCCACAGCCTTACCTCTGGACCCAATAATGGTATTTTCATCCACCTAGTTGTCCAAGTCACTTTTTAAAAATTATTCTGCACCCCTTCTTCTCCTTACTGTATTTAATCTCAAAGTCCTACCAACACTGCCTTTGAATATATGGCACATTTTCTCCTCTATAATTCAATCATTGCTAAACCAATTCAGGCACTTTTCCAACTCTTACTTCAACTACAGTTGTAGGTTCCTAAACAATCCACCAATAGTATCAATATCTATCTACTCTCTCCCCTTAAAACCATTCTCCAGGGATCTCACCTTAGTGAAAAGTTTTTGCACATCAAAAGAAATCACCAACAGAGTAAAAAGAAAACTCATGAATTGGGAAAAAATTATAGCTGACTGTCCCTCAGACAAAGGACTTCTATCTAGAATATATAAAGAAATTTTAAAAATTAGACCCCCAAAATTCAAAGACCCAATTAAAAAATGGGCATCTGAGATGAATACACATTTTTCAGAAGACCAAATCTATTTTTTACAGATAAGTCAAGAAATACAAATGGCAAATAAATATATGAAAAAATGTTCAACATCACTGTTCAACATCATTGATCATTCAAGAAATGCAAATTAAAACAACACTGAGATTCCATCTCACCCCAGAAAGAATGACTACCATTAAGAAATCAACCAATAACAAATGCTGGAGAGGCTTCAGGGTAAAAGGAACACTTCTCCATTGTTGGTGGGAGTGCAGACTGGTGCAACCACTGTGGAAATCAGTGTGGAAATTCCTCAGAAAACTAGTATTAGAGGTCCCATCAACCCAGCTATTCCCCTTCTGGATGTTTTTCTAGAAGAACTGAAAAGGTCATATCACAGCGATATATGTGTACCCATGTTTAGAGCAGCACAATTTGTCATAGCTACATCTTAGAAACTACCCAAATGTCCATCCACTGAGGAATGGATAAAAAAGATATGGTATTTTTATATAGTGGAATATTACTCAGCTATAAAGAAAGATAAACTGCAGGCTTTTATAGGTAAATGGATGCAACTAGAGACCATACTCATAAAGGAAATAATTCAGACCCTCATGTATAAACATCATATTGTCTCCCCAGTATAAGAACCTGAAAAAGTAAATAAAACCCTAAAGGTACACCACATACTGTGAAAGGGAAAGAAGTTGCTCGAAGGGAAGGAACAACTGGGATGACGGAAAGGAGAAAAGAAAGAAAGGAAGGGAAAAAATGCATATGTACATACAAGGATAGCTGGGATAACTGTACTGCTGATGTCTATTGATTTACTGAAAGGAACAGTTAATGCTTAAATTTTTCTTTTTCTGATCAATTTTGCATGATTATATCTGGTAATATGAACAACTAATTTGAAGACAACCATATGCAATATAACAATGATTGCTGAATCCCTACTATCTTGATTAGTGAAACTCTGTATCGTTTCTAATGGTTTTCATTATTTTTTATCCTCTCTAATTGTTTGATCAATCTTGCATTCTTACATCTGGTAATCTGAGCAACTTCACTGAAAATAAAAATATGTAATACAACCACTGTTAACTTCCTATCACCTTGTTTTGAAGTTCTGTATCGTTTTTATTGTCTTTGTGTTGTTTTGTTTTTGTCTTGGTTGTTGTTACTTTGTTTTCTCTTTAAAAAAAAAAAAAACATCCTTCATACTAAAGTCAAAGACAAGCACAGATCTGGTGTCCGTCTTCGCACCTAAGCACTGCAGAGCCTCCCGGCCTCCCTCCCACTACTTCCCACCTTACTCTTTACTGTGTCTCTTGCCCTTCCTTGTTCATCTGTTCGGCATCTACCAGGAATGCCTTTTGCATCTTTGCTCACCTTGTGAACACTTGAAAATCGTTCAGAACTCTGAGCAAATAATCCATTCTTCCAGTAAGCTTTTCAGCATCCCTAGGCTGCGAAAGTATTCTACGTGTGCCTCTTTCTTATTAAACAGATCAAGGGGACTTCAGTGTGCAATTCTCACAACATTCCAAGCACTCAGGAACAGGGACCGTGCCTTATTTATCTTTTCAATCTTGGCACAATGCCTGACATCTAATGGGCAGGCAATAAATATGTGTTATTTAAGTGAGTTATGGCATATAACCATATGTCCTTTATTAATATTAATTCAGTGACCAAATCTATTTTTTACAGGTAAGTCAAGGGTAACTTTAAAGCTAGTATTACTGAATTATTATAAATTTCTGAACAAGTTTAAATTAATATGGGGCTTGGGGCTGGGGATTTAGCTCAGCGACAAAAGCGCTTGCCTGGCAAGCGCAAGGTCGTGAGTTCGGTTCCTGGTACCGGAGAAAAACCAAAAAAACAACAAAAAAAAATAATAATAATCTGGAGCTTAACATCTATCCTTTAAGGTACTGCGTTACACACTTGCTCACACAGCACTATACAGGTTAGTGATCTTTACCTGAACTACTTCAAACAAGTGTGTCAGATTTTACAGTTTCTTAACTTTGGAGTATTTGCATAGATTTCTAGTTGAGACTCCCTAGTCCCAAAATTCAAAACTGTAGATCTTGAAATGGCTTAGATTTGAGATTTTTGGATGAGAGACGCTCAACTACTCACATTATAACTCAAATAAACCTCAACAGTGAGCTCTTTGGTACAGCAATCATTCCAGCACATCATACAGTCACCTGTCAGCATTCAAGGGGAGTGACTCCTTGACCTCCAGTGCATACCGGATATCAAAATCCCCAGATGCCAAGTGCTTTACATAAAATGGCAGTCTTGGTATATAATTGCACATACCTTCTGATGCACTATAAAGCATCTCTGGATTACTTACAACACTTAGTAAAATGTTATTGCTAAGTAAACAGCTGTTGTATTTCTTCTTTAGGGAATGGTGACAAAGGAAAACTGTGAAGATTGAGAAAAGACATAACTTCCCCCCTCCCCTTTCCCTCCCAGCAAACACTTTCAACACACAGAGGTGGAAGGCACAGAGACACGGAGGGCCAGCTGGACTGGAGGTAATGTACGTTATCACCACACACACCTACATTTCCGAACCTGCTACATTAAAAGTACATTAAGTTTTAGGAATGAAGGCAACTCAATTTGCAAGCACTGCTTTCTTCCAACCTACCCGAAAATTATCTGGGGAGCTCAGATGAAGTTTTTCCCTAATATCTTCAGAAGCACCAGCACACAACCTATAAAAGATATGATAATTCCTTTCCTCTTTGCCTTGAACGCAGATCCTAGATTTCTCTAGAAGATAATGTGAAACAAATCCTCCAACAACTGAACTCTAGAAAACAAAACAGGAAAAGAAAACATTCTCCGTTTAGTCTTAATGCAGAACACAACAATATGAAATTATTTATCTTTTCTAATAAGTATCTATCAAAGAGGTTATAATACTCATCAAACAGAGGAAAAAGCGTCAGTTTAGTCTATTTGTAAAGGCCACCCTTCACTTTGGACATCCTCATTCGGTCTCTACACAGGTCCTTCTAAGTTTCAAGCCTCTACAGAATCAGAAGTGCGCGCACAGTGTGCCTCAGTGTAAGTGCCCACAATGGGCCACTCTACAGCTGTGAAGAACTAGTTTATGAAGAGTAGAAGAAAAGAGTTCAGCGGCATCAAAGGACTGACAGGAGGAAAGCACTGATTACTCTGACTTCATTGGTACACACTGGTGAAGTATCACAGTGTGCGCTTTAAACATATACAATAACTAGCACGTTGATGAAGACAACAACATCAGAAAAAAGAAAGAATAGAACAGATATCAATTTGTACTCCATGATGCTGTCAGATCCAAGATTTGGGTTATAAACAAAAGAGCTTTGGATAGTCATAGTGAATACATTCGTTCTCCTATCAAAAGTAATCAAAAACAATTCAAGGAATGTAGCGTAAGTATAGCCCAGATTCTCACAAGATGCTTACATTTTCCATTATCACTACCCAAACATATCACCCCCAAGCTCACTTCCACTTACCTTTTCATTGAAATGTATTTCCACAAATTTTCCAAATCGACTGCTATTATTGTTGCGAACAGTCTTTGCATTTCCAAACGCCTCTAAAAGTGGATTAGCTATTAAGAGAGAAATGAAAATATCTCATCAATAAATGAACATGAAAGAAAACTACAAAATTTATATGTATAGTATCTCTCCTTATAAAAAATACTACAATAAATATTCTTGAAAAAAAAATTTTTTTTTTTTTGGCAGTACCGGGGATTGAACTCATGACCTTGCACTTGCCAGGCAGGCGCTTATGCCACTGAGCTATATCCCCAGCCCCACTTGAAAGTATTAATGTAGAGGAATTATGTAATCTAAAATTCTACAAGCACTTAATGATTACCCACTCACTATGTTCAGATACTACTCAAGCACAAGAGATAGAAAAATTACACAAAATATACGAAAAGAAAAGGTAAATGTTATAGGAAAGACTAAATTTCTAAAAGTCACTAGATTAAAGAACTTAGAATTCAGTTTTTAAAATTACTCACTATGACATTCACAGTTATAACAAGTACATCAACCCTAGGCTACTGATTAGAGCGGGTGTGGTGGCGCATGCCTGTAATCCCAGCACTCAGGAGGCTGAGGCAGGAGGACTGTTGCAAATTCAAGACCAGCCTGGGCTACAAAGTGAGCTCAAAGCCAGCCTGAACTGCATAGCCAGACCCTGTCTCAAAAAGACAAAAAAAAAAGACTACTGATTATAGCATATAAAATAGCAAAAATACAGGCAAGAAAGTTAGTATTTAACTTACTTTTCTAACATTTTTATGTTGTTATAACCTCCAGATTAAACATTTTTATATACACATCCAATTCAGTTTAACAACTTAAGAGGCTATAGAATTAAGAAAGGTTCTCAGTTTTAACTGACTAAACACAAGTTACCAGAACCTACACTTACACCCATCGAAGCCTCCACTCCAAACCGGCATCAGCAGTAATCTAACATCTTCCTCTGCACCAACCTCAACTGCTCCATATATCCTCAGAGTAGTTCCTGCAATGCCTTTTAAAGTCCATTTTCCTGATTCTATCCATGGAAGAAAGCTCAACTGGTCTCCACAAACCCTTTTAAAGATCACTTCTTGGTCACTTCATTTGCCACAATAATTTAAAAAGGATTAAAACTACAAAAAAATGTTATGATACATCCCTTACTTTTCAGGTGGGCAAGGAAACTGGGACCTATAAGGTAACTTAACTCTCAAGGGCTTGATGGCTGACTGGTGACAGAAAAGAGACTCAGCCAGGCGTGGTGGCGCATGCCTGTAATCCCAGCACTCAGGAAGCGGAGACAGGAGGATCGTTGTGAGTTCGAGACCAGCCTAGGCTATAAAGTGAGCTCAAGGCCAGCCTGAACTGCATAGTGAGACCCTGTCTCAAAAATACACACACACAAAAAAAGACTCAGTCACAGGCCTCCCAAACTCCCTTACTAATGACCTACAAAATAATTTAAGTAAAATTTAATGCATGTAAAACATCTCAAAATAGGCTAAGAAATGCTCCATCAGACAACCACGTGTACTCACGCTATTAATAATAAACACAGTCCCCAAACAACAAATAGATTTTCATTACAAATGCGTCAACCCATCCTGCAGCCACACAGTTACATCTACAAGGCTGCAGAAACACTCAGAATAGCCCTCTCCAACTTCTCACATACACTACACAGTACACGGCACATTACCACAGAAAAGACCAGGCTTATGTCTAATTTTCAAGTAAATAAATCAGAAAACTAATTAGTCTTTTATTGAATTAACCCATTGTTTTATTTATTCAATGATTATTTTTCTTTTGTATAAGAATTCAAACTCAGGATCTTGCGCTTGCCAGACAGGCGCTGCACCCCTGAGCTGAATCCCCGGCCCTTACTCAATCTTCAAGGGTGAATCTGAGTATGTCACGGGGGGCACTAGAGAAAGGGAGAAGAGAAAGAGTAAACAGAGACGCCTAAAGCACTTCCAGGACCTGTCAGAGACCAACAGGACTAAAGCATGAAGTCACAGAGGAACGCAGACTCAGACCAGATGAGAAGGGGCAAGAGCTAGGCCGGGGAGTGCGGCGCAGGGCCAGCCAGGGTTCTGGAGCACGCTCATGAGAGCAGTATGGAGCCGATAGAAGATGGAAAGCACTCATCCCACTTCCACAAGGGAGTGGACAGCGGCAAGCACATGAAAGAGGGGAGCAGCCAGGACAGCTGACTCAGGGTGATGATGGCCGCGTCCAGCTGTCTCCAAACCAAGGTGCAAGGAGCTCTCTAAGGGGTCTGCAAACAAGGACAGCTTAAGGAAATCAGCTCACCCTCCTGCCTGCCACGGAACACTTGAACTGAAACAGTTTTCCCAAAAACAGAACCTTAACACCAAATAATTCTGCTTCCTCCTTCCTTCTTTACAGAAACATAAGGCCCAAAAAAAACAACAGGAAGAGGTTCTTGTCTTCCTTCCATTTACTCAGTGGATTTTTTTTTATTTTATGAAAAAAAAGTAAAAGAAAATCTCTTAACAAGATAATAGGAGAATAACAACAGTTAATACATTGCATATTATTATCTTTAAAGTAGTTACTCAGAGTACAAGATATGGGCATAAAAAACTCTCCAATCAATGAAAGTGCAAACCTGCCTTTTCTATGAACTAAGAGATGCTAATAGTATAACTAACTTGCATTTTTTTCTCTTCTTTCCTTTAGGCTTTCCCTCATCCTAGTTTCTTTTCCCTTTTTAACAATTTTTCCCCATTTCACAGTATGTATTATACATTTTAGACCTTATCATATCAGGGAAGCAATACAAAGTTTATACATGTGACTCTGATTTATTTCACTAATGAGTGTGATCTCAAAGTACATCCATTTACCTATAAAAGTCTCAAGTTTATCATTCTTTATGGCTGAGCAGTAATCCACTATATAAAAATACCACATTTTTTTTACCCATTCCTTTGTTGATGGGCATCTGGGTTGTTTCCAGGATTTAGCTATGACAAATTGTGCTGCTATAAACATGGGTGCACATATACCATTGTGGTATGATGTTTTTAATTCTTCTGGGAAAATACCCAGAAGGGAAATAGCTGGGTTGAATGGGACCTCTAATCCTTGCTTTTTGAGTAATCTCCATACTGATTTCCACAGTGGTTGTACCAGTCTACACTCCCACCAACAGTGGAGAAGGGTTCCTTTATCACCCAGCCCCTTCAGTATTTTTTTTTGGTACCAGCAAGTGAGCTCAGGACCTTGTACTTGCCAGGCAGGTGCTTATGCCACTGAGCTATATCCCCGGCCAGCATTTGTTATTGGTTGATTTGATGATAGCCTTTCTTTCCGGAGTGAGATGAAATTTCAGTGCTATTTTAATTTGCATCTCTTGAATGACCAGTAATGTTGAACATTTTTTCATATATTTGTTTGCCATTTATATTTCATCTGAGAAGTGTGTATTCCTCTCAGATGCCCATTTTTGGATTGGGTCTTTGAATCTGGGGGGTGGGGTCTGATTTTTTTCAATTCTTTATACGTTCTAGATAGAAATCCTTTATCTGAGGGACAACTGGCTAAAATTCTTTCCCAATCTGTGGTTTGTCTTTTCACTCTGTTAATTTTTTTTGATGTGCAAAAGCTTTTTAATAAGATGAGGTCCCAGTTGTTGGTACTCTGAAGTATTTCCTGTGCAGTTTAGGTTTTGTTCATGAACTCTCTGCCTACCCCTATGTCTTCAAGATTTCTACCTACTCTCTCTTCCAGGAGATTGTTTCTGTTTTAATATTTAGATCTTTGATCCATTTTGACTTTAGTGCATGGTGATAGACATGGGTCTAGTTTTAATATTTGACATGTGGAAAACCAGTTTTTCTAGCACCATTTATCAAAGAGGCTGTCTTTCTTCCTATGAACATGTTTGCCCCCTTTGTGAAAGATAAGGTGGCTGAGCATGTTTGTAGCTGTGTCTGAATCTTCTAATCTGTTCCACTGATCCTCAGGTCTGTTTTTTTGTCACTACCATGCTGATTTTACCACAGTAGTTTTGCAGTATAATTTCTTCCTTTCTTTCTTTCTTTTGTCATTTTGAGACAGGGTCTCACTGTGCAGTTCAGACTGGTCTTGAATTCACTATGTAGCCCAGGCTAGCCTCGAACTCACAACGATCTTCGTGCCTCAGCCTTCCAAGTGCTGGGATTACAGGCACATGCCACCACGCCAGCTTGTAGTACATAATTTCAAGTCAGGGATTGCAATGCCTCCTGCCTTGCCTTTGTTGCCCACAATTACTTTTGCTATTCTAGGTCTCTTCTGGTTCTAAATAAATGTTACAAATATTTTCTCTCATTCTGTGAGGTATGCTAATGGTATCATGATCAGTGGATGTTTATAGTATGCATTAGGCACTGTAGACATCCCTGCCTTCCAGTACTTGTGTACAGTGGGCCACGGGGAGCAATGAGAAGCAGTAAGGAAGATGACACCTGAGCAAAGACTTACCAGAGAGGGGAGAGCCTATGTACTCTAGAAGAAGAACTGTCCAGATCACTGAAAAAATTCTTGTACATTAATTTCAACACATACGAAATGAAGGAAAATAAAAGTAAACAATACCTTCAACAATCCTGTCATCAATATCTTGACCTGTTCCATAGGACTCAGTCAGGTATCTGTTTAAAGCAAAGGATTAAAAACCTGGATGATAGTAATATTGTATGCAATAGATTTATAATTTCTGTATTATTTAGTACATATAAGCCTGAAACCTGGATCATCCTTCTAACTTTAAAAATTACAGACTTATGTTCAAATGTATTTTTATAGCTTTAAATTTATCTAGAATTCTATTTAAATTATCTTTAACATCTAAATCAGTATTTTTACATTATTTTTGGAAATATTCTGATTTTAAACAACTATCATATTTGGTTTTAAATACATCACTCATTTCACATGGGAATACTCACCAACCATGAGACTTCAAAGCCTTCTGCCACAGCCTATTAATTCAGCCTTTTTTTGCTACAGAAAAGAAGGCAATCTGCCACTGAGCAACTAGGAAGTCACCCTGGGAAGAGTGTGACGGCAGCTAAGGAGGCAGGGTGGGAGAAGGTGCAGGGAGGTGGCAATGCAAAGGCCAGATGTCATAAACTCCAAGTAAAAATGACCCCAAGAGGAGGAGTGACTAAGTGGAGAAATGACTAAAAATGACTAAGAGGAGAAACCCTGAGAGCAGAACATCCCCGTGGAAGCAAACTTCGAAGGAACATGCCCAACTTTCCCTTCGCTTAGCTAGCACTGGTCTCTTCCAGGATCCTTACATGTCAGAGCTGGCTTTCAAGAACCTTCAGATCAGCTTCCATAAAAAGGGCTTGTTTCTTTAAAACAGTACAGCCTACCATTCCAAACTATGTCCCAAAGTATGTCAATGTATTAAAAGTCAACTTAAATATTTGCACACCCATGTTCATAACTACACTATTCGCAACAGTCACAGGCGGAGCAGCCCAGATGTCTGTCAGCAAAGATGTGGATGAGCAAAATGCAGGGTATACCTACAAGGGAATACTATTTGGCCTTTAAAAGGAAGGAAATTCTAACATATACTGCAACATGGGACACATGCTACATGGTGAAATCTTTTTATGATACAAGCAGCCCTAGAAAGACAAACCCTATGTGATCCCACCTATCTGTGGTACCTAGAGTACTTACAACCATAGAAACAGCACAGCGGTGCTTGCCAGGGCTAGAGGAGTGGCAAAAGCAGAGTTACGTAATCGGCAAAAAGCTTCAGTTACCCAAGATGAAAATGCCTACAGACCGGCTGCAGAACAATGTGAATGTGCTTAACATTACTGAACTGTACCCTAAGAAAAGGTTTACGTGGCAAATTTCACATTACACGTCTTAAGCTCTAAAATCATGGCACCCTGTTCCAAAATATTTCAAGCCAGCTAAAAATACTCACCTTAGAACAAATTTTGTATTTTCTGTTTTTCCAGCTCCTGATTCCCCAGATACAATGACAGACTGACTCATCCTGAGCACCTTCATGTCCCGGAAAGCCTTGTCAGCTAGGGTCAAAGTAACACGTCAGTGACCGACAGCATATTAAACAGAAGCCGTCAACGACAGAGGCTCACTGGGGAGCATGCGCACACAAAGAAACCATAAATGTGTCTTAGAAGGGAAAGTTTAGAACAGTCATTTAAAAGTGTTCAAAACATTTCTAGGAGTATTTATTTTTAATATTTGATCCTAACAACTAAATAATACAAAATCCAAGTCACTTTTAATCTTGTGCTACAATGTCTCTGCATCATTAGCTGTGGTCAGCTCTCCCCAGCATCACAGCAGATTAGCAGAAGGACAGAGAAATGTTCCCTATGCCTAGCTAATGAGAGCCCCACTGAGAAACAAGAGGTAACCAGATGAGAAATCTGGCAACCAGAATTTCTGCTGGGAATAAAAAAACACATAATTGCAAAAATAATTCTGGGGGGTGTTTCTCCCCTACGGATACTATTAAATTCAAACATCTGCAGAATATATCAGCATTTCAAAGGCAAACTTTGCTGCTTTAAAAATCTTAGATTTGCTATTGTTTATATGTAATTTTTAACTATTTTCACCTATACTGTACAATTTAAACTATAAAGTCAAAGTTGTTTAAGTTTAAAATTAAGCTCTTGACCAATGTGGCTCAGTAAGACAACTATTTCTCACCTCAAAATGTGTGCCAACCATACCAATGAGGAGCTTTACAAATGTCTTTTTCTCTGAAGACAGAATACAGCCATCCAGCCTGGATGTGGTTCCAGTGTCCCCAAGGGTCCACTGTCACAGCAGGCCTGGTCTGCAGGGTGGCAGAGTCTTGGGAAGGTGAAGCCCCATGGGAGGTCCTCGAGCCACTGGGCCATGGCCTCAGAAGCTAACCCTCGAGTTCTTGAAAGAGGGCTGTATAAATGGAGAAAGCCTGTCCTCGCCCTGCTCCTAGTTTGATAGAGTCACTGGCTCACTCTGGCCATGGCTACCCTCAATGAAGTGATTCAGTGAAGGTGTGGTCCACAGCACAAGTGTGTGGCTTGGTCTTCTCCATAACTACCAGCTAAATAATCTCCTCTTCCTGAGGCATACTGTCAAGTATTTTTTTACCGGCATGCATCATGCGTAAGAGTACAAGCATCCCTTTGCCTAACTTATCAATCCTGTTACACACTTTTATAGAATCATTCTAAACACTTTTTAGCAGTCAAAAGGTAAAATTAAAAGCTACCTTATTTACATTTTAAACATGTAACTAACTTCTCTCCAGTGATCAACCTGCTCATATTCGAGTTCTACGGATTGTATACCATTTCATACCCTGATAGGAGCACACATCAATGCTCATCAGAACCGAAAATAAATCTGCTGGGATTGGTGGGTGTATTTACTCTGCCTTGCAGTAGTACATGCCACACACAGCACCAAATCTGCAGGTGAAACGTGGTCAGGCCACAAGCAATATGAAGAGAAGTCCCAATGAGAAGAGGACTGCACTAAAGTGACCCTCAACTGCTGTGAATGCCCAGCTGCAAAGCAGTTAGCTGACATCTCTGAACTTGGTAGGAAACACGATAGTGCATAAATTCTAATTCTGATAGAGTAACTCCATCTCACTGCACCTCAGCGCTGGAGCCTTCAAGATGAGTGAGGCTGCCATCTTCCCATAGTCCTCAGCTACAGGAAGCAGGTAGCACTTTTCACCTCTTCATTTTATGAAACCCTGATGCAAGACAACGCCTGGAAGAAGTCTGCTCTCACTGCCCAAAGCTGGCCCAAGTTACACAAGCAGCAACCTGGGTAAGACAGGAAGGCTCGGGCCTCAGAGCTGTGAGGGAAGACGCTTATAAGATAAAGTAGATCTTACTGAGGAGCCAAAAGAACCATTAGGTCTGCGTTTATCATGCCCTACTTTCAAATGGGCAGACACACGTAAGGAGACACAGGCCTTTACCAAAGACAATGACGTGTGACTGCCCCATGAGTTGGTTGCAAAAGCATTCACCCCCTCACTAAAGAGACCAAAGGTACTGACAACACTTACGCTGTACACCTGATACACACATACGTTCAATTTCTGTTATCTTTAATTAATCCAAAAGGAAAACTGAGCAAATCTGTACAATCTAAGGAAAGATATGAATGAAAATACAATTAAATCCCTTACCAATTGCAAAGACATGAGGCGGCATTGTTCCAAGAGATTTTCCTTGGTATGACTTTATTGCATCTGAAGAATATATTTTAGGTATATCAAAGTACGGGTTCACTGCAATCAGAATGTTGGCAACATACGTCTAAAAGGAAAGGCATAAACATAAAATTTTTCCAGTTACTATTACCATTTAAAGCTGAGCAAGGCTAAAAGGCAAAAGGTCCTTTCAAGTCTCTAGACATCGAGGATTCCAATATCGGCACTAGTATTCTCCACAAGACCCATTACTTCTCCGACTGGGTAAGTCTTTTTACCCTCTCATGTTGCAGTCATCCCAAACTCAGAACGTCTGAAGGTAAGATTCTCTCTTCCAACTCCCTGTGCCTCAAAGAAAACAAACCCCTCCCAAACACTCCCTCAGGTACCTGATGTCACCACCAAGTCACCCTCATTGGAAATCTGAGCTTCTAAAGGCCTGTACCTCAACCAGGCTTCTGCTGATTGCACTTACAAAATCTACTCCCCTCCTTTGATTCCTACAGCCGAATTTGGTGATGTGGGTCTTCTCATAGGCTGCCTCATTCACCCAACAGTGAATGCCCAAGAGAGGTTTGGCACTAAATGACCACCTGGTCTAAGAGTTCTGAGAAACAGCACATGCTGACCACTGACTGGAAGAGTGATGGGCTAAACATCAATGATCAGCTCAAGCTTGCTTTAAATTTGGATCTTAACTGTGGCTTTCAAAGATCAGAAAAACGCACCAGCAGGATTTATAAAATTCCTGCTTAGGGGAGAGTCGTGGTTTAGTAAGACTGGCAAAACTAGAGCACAAAGGGCCCTATTTTTGTCTTTGTTGCTTCCAGTTGTGGACAAGAAATTCTGTGGAAACCCAGGACTCTCATTAGGCTACTAATCTAGAATGTAGAGAATGTTCCCAAAGATGTTTCTTGGAATAAAGTAAAAAACAAGAAATTCTAGATCATAATTTTCCCGGGGAGACAAAAGGAAAGGATCAGGGATTTTAGAAACCATAAAAATGTTAAATGTGGGCTATTATTTCACCAAAATCTAAAAGAGAATAGTGATATCTCTTGATTGGTAAAAAACATAAAGTATCAAATTTAAACCATTACTCTAAATTACTTCCTTCAGTTATTAATTATAGTAACTTCCTCCTTCCTATGTTATAGTAATAATAGTACTTATATTTGCTGATATTTAATAGCTATACCTAAAGGACATAATTGGCTGGGGGGAAATACCAATGACCTGAAAACACAAATGTCGTACTTTGACTCAAAGATGATACCTCACAGTTATTTCTGAATTATCTTTCATTGATTTATTGTACGTTAAACAAATTTTTTGTTGCCTTAACAATTTTTTGTATCACTGCATTATCTAAAAATGGCATTCAGCATACATTAGATTCTGTTCAGTGTAATTTTACTTCTAAACATACTTGTACTCAAGAATATTAATATTTAAAACTAACTATATTCTGTATTTAGATTTTGAAAAAACCTCAGAGAGGAAAGTAAAATCTATGTGCATAATCAGAAGACATGCTGTATAAACCACAGGTAAACTCTTAGAATTCACTACATTAGTTCCATTTCCCAGCTGCCACTACTTGGACAGATGGCAAAGACTAGATGTAATTTAGTCAGAATTAAGTAAGTACAATTAGGCAAACTGATAGTGATATAAAAGATGAAGACTGTCATTTGATCTAGTAAGCGTCAAAGAAGCCATGTGTTTTCTTCTTTCAAAAATAATGAAGAGTCCCATCTTTCTAGCAGGAGAACCACAGTGAGGTAATCTATCTCCAGCCAACAAAAGAATCTAGACTAGCAGATATTAGAACATAAAATCTCAGAGGGGCCCAATGAATAATTGTAATTACAACATAGTAGTGAAGTAACAATTTAGGCTTCACAATCAGCATTTTTATGTTCTTGGTATTTCCTGAGATACTGCTTTCTATTCTAATTTACCTTTTCCTCATTCAAATTTCTGACCTTACTATGTACTCCTTACAGGCTGCCTTTAATTCTCTACAGAACAAAGGGAAAAGTGAAACTAATTAATCAGATCTATAGACATATACCAAAAGACAAGAATCAAAATCCAAAATAATTGTTTTTGTAAACATTTGACTTTGACATTTTAAGTCTGAAAGACAGCAAGTGATGCTCTCACTGTTCACTCCACACAGGAAGTGCCCGCTGTGTGCCAGGCGGACCCTGAGCCTGGAGGTGGAGCAATACACTAGGAGCCCGGCCTTCCTGGAGTTCCCTCTACTGCACAGGCTCAGGTTAGCAGCACTTCCTGGTAGAAAAACGTCACACCTGACGAAGCCAAAGAGTCATGCAAAATAATGACCCCCACAAAAATGTAGGCCATAGCTAAAATACCCGAGCTTAACTAAAATACTTACATAAATTCTGTCTTTACTGTATCGAACTTTGATATTATGGAGCAGTGTGGCTTCATTTAAGTACATTAGTGAACCTAAAACATAAAATTTGTAAATCATTAAACAGTTAAAGAAAAAAAGTTAAATAACCAATATTGTATTAATTGGAATAATTCTGACCCAAGCTTAAAGTCAACTTATTAGGTCAGATTTAAATCCATCTTTTCAAAACCCAGGTAACATGTAAAACCCCAGGGGCTAATTTAAAATAAATCCAGCTGGGGAGGAAGGAATATCATGGTACTGTGCTTGCCTAAAATAAATCCAGTTTACTTATGTTCTTTAAAAACTTATGGTATTTTTAAACAATGAATTTCCAACTAGGAAATACATCTAGTGAGTACCACTGGTGGTATACACCAATAAAGTCTGACTAAAGTCAAGTATTATCCAAAGGGAAAGTACTCCTTTAGGGGACTCTAATTTAGTATACTTCTGACACAAACAAGACACTACATCCATGATGCTCACAGTCTTGTGGATAAAACAGAAGACAAGATGTGGAACAGGTTGGGACAATCAGATCATTCAGTCCCTCCCACCTGACACGGCAATCCTGCGTGGGTTACGTATGCCTTAGCCTACACTGATGCGACACTAATTGAGGCAGAATTGGGGTTGATATCTTGCCTTCTGATGTCTGTTCTAGGGATACATCAAAGTTCCTTCCCAGTCTATTCTCCACGCCCTCCCATCTCCTGAGCTCCATCAGTACCACATGCTACGACAGACAAAACCGGCCCTTTCCTCAGCCCGTGGGTTTCTATTATCAGCACCACACTCCCCCGGTCCTGAGAACCACAAACTCGAGGCAATGCCAGAGCCCTCTCCGCTCATCTTCCTTGCTCCCAACAGTTCCAAGCCTGTGAGGCCCGCAGCAAGCAGCCAACACTCGCCCCATCTGAATCTCTGAAATGCCTCTTTTCTGCCCCTTTCTGCAGTTCCACCTTAATCTTACTATCTCCTGTACGACTACAGATGCTAGTATTTGTCTGTCGCTTCAGCCTCTCTCCTCTGTCAGCCAGACTGCTCAGCACACTGACTAGTTAAATCTTTCTCCATCTCAAAAAAAAGTCAGTGGGTCCCTACCAACTATCAACACCCACACTGAAGTCTGATCAAGGCTTTTAATAAACCTACATCTAAATAACCTTTTTATAAAATCTTTCACAATGTAATACAATCTAACCTATAGGTAGACTGAACAGTTTACCAGCCACCATTCACACAGCAGCTTCTGCTCAGAATACCCTGAAGTGCCAAGAAGCACCCCGTCCTTTAAGGCCATCTCAGAGACCCTCTCAGTGCTGGCCCAGGCGCCCCACAACCTTCAGGGCCACTCTCGTCTCTGGATCCTCTTCACTCCGCTCCCCACCCACACCTGTACTGTGGTGATAACTTACGCATCAGGGTTTGGCACAAGGGCCTTGGGAAGGGATGCAGCTTGATTACTTATTCTTGTGCTGGATCCTCAGTGGTGCTGTATGCAGGTCCACACTGCACACGTCCGGCACACAATTCAACACCTGTCCATGCTGTCAAGCAAGTCTTTCGTTCTGCCTATCTCCACAAAGAAAATCCACACTGCTGCACTCAGATGACACAGTCAGTTCATCTTCCAAGGGCCTCCCTGCTGTCTAACGCCACTGAAGGTGGAACAGAAGAGTACGAAGGCAGTAGAGCCTCTAGCTGACTGGCAGGTTCCCTTCTGGAGGGAGGAGCGGAGGTAGCAGCAGAGGTGTCTCTGGGTTGGGTAGTGGTCACCTGTCTTTTTGCTCCTGCTCTGCTTCCTCCCTAGACTCCAAGAAACCTGGCCTATATGTCATTGTTTCGCTGTTCAAAGCACTCTGCTGCATCACTTGCCCACCTCTTACTTTCCTCTGAAATACTTGGCTGTGGGACATCATCATAACCCTACAAAAGTTACCCTATAAACCTGCACCCAACAGAAATGACTGCTAGCTCTTCCCTCCAGGCTATCAGCTGCCTCCTTGGGGACAGCTGTCCATTAAGCTCAATAAAGCCCTTCAAAGGTACAATATCTGCCAATGAGACTAAGAATTTGGACGAGGGGTTCCTTACATCACACTGCTCAGGCTATTCCATTTTCATGCAAACATGGAGAAAAAGAGAGGATAATATTTTTGACCTTCCATTTGCCCAAGTGAGAAACATTTAAGTCTTACAGGCCTACACCTCCCCGAAGGTGAGACCCAGGGATACGTCCCAGGGTCTCAGGAACAGCTTCCTGCCCCACCCATTTCCTTCCTACCCGCTTCTCCGAACAGTAGGCCCCACCCCTGGGGTTACTTGGATTGGTTATTTTATATGCAATTTTAAATTAACTGTTTACCTTTTATGCCTAATTAGTCATACACTTAACTATATTTAAAAGTAAGATAGAAAAAGTATAAACATAATTTCTTTACAAACATTAGGCTTCTAATGAGCAACAGGTATAACTTCATTATTAAATCTGGTGATCTGACTCAAGAATTAACTGAGTATTTTTAAGATCCCGCTTATTGAATACAGCCCTAGTTCAATGAAGAAAAATAATTTCAACACAGTACAAGCCAATGAATTCCAGATTTATATAGTTATAAAAGCCATTCCTTACTGAGACAAATAAGCCAACTTTTAAGATTCTGTGTAATCTCACACTCTGTACTTACTCTTCAACATCTAACAGCTTTTACCCACAGAGAACAGTGTATATCATTTAAGCAACAGTAGCTCAAAGCATGAAAATATGCTATTTTCTTTTTAATTACTGATGTTATATCCATGAATTATTTTTCTATTCTTGTGTCAATGCTCACAAATCAAGTAAAAAAGGCAAAACTAACACATCCACGTCTAAATAGAAACCCTTTACCAGAAAACTTGGAGCTAACAACAGGTAATGCATTTTTGCTATATTGTTACAGCACCAACTAAAGACAACACTTATTTTGTTTTTGTTTTTTGAGACAGAGTCTCACTATGTAGTTCAGGCCAATCTTGAACTCACTATGTAGCTCAGGCTGGCCTCGAACTTCCAGTGATCCTCCTGCCTCAGCCTCCCAAGTGCTGAGATTACAGGTATATGCCACTGGGCCAGGCCTAAAGAGAACATATAGCTCAGTTTCAATTGAACATATATCTTAGTTTTATCACACAGTTCAGAAGACACTCCATGGACATCAATCATCTATCATGACATTATCATTATGACACTGAAAAGAGGAAATAATTTTAGATACACATTTGAGGCCCTAACAATGTCAGTGTGTCATTTGGATAGCTCAGTAGTACCATGACAAGACTGACAAAAGAAGGACAAAGACAGAAAACCGACATTCTAAAATCAACCAAAGCTGCATTTATGAAGAGTTTCGTAACATGTAACAATAACAGTCATAATAACACCCCCATTGTATAGATGAGAATCTCAAGAGGGTTAAGTTGCCCAGGACACTCAGAATCACAACTGAGGCCTGCCTTCTTCCAGCCCAGGGGTCCCTCATGACGCCATCTATTCTATGATGCCTTTACTCACAGACAGGCTTACTCAATTGTGAACTCTGGTAAAAATCTGTGAGAATAACTCTGTGCCTTTGCCTCATCTTTTCTCTCAAAATAGAGTTTGTAATATTGGGCACCACGTCAACTGGACGTGATGTTCAAATACTTCCATAGTCTGGTTTGAAACACACCCCAGAACTCCATGTCCAGAGCGTGGTGCTTGGCTCAGTGCTATTACAAGATGGTGAGAACTTCAAAGGGGGCTCAGGAGTACACATGGCTCAGTGATTTGGAAAGTGGGTCAGTAGGAGTCATTTAACGTCACTGTTTGGAGCAAACCAACATTAAAAAAAGAACCACTACTTAATCACTACCTATTAGAAATGTATTTCAAAACATCATACTAAAATGTCTGGCTGGGTACGATGGCACACACCTGTAGTCACCCAATACTCTGAGGGGCTGAGGCAGGAAGATCTCAAGTTAAAGCCCAGCTTGGACAACCATGTCTCAAATTAAAAGAATTTTTAAAAAGAGCAAGGGATGTTGCTTGTGTGGGTTCAGGCCCTGGTTAGGGGAGAGGGAGGGTAGAGGCAGAGCTTGGTGGGAAGACAATGAGCACAGTGGGGATGCAGCTCCTTCCCAGTTTTGTTTCCAACTGCTCTGACATGAACAATCTCATCACTCCACCAGGAGATCCTGCCCAGCCCGGAGCCCAAAGCAATGGTCAACAGACTACAGACCCCACCCTCCAAAACACTGCATCAAAATAAAACTTTCTTCTTTTTAGTTTTATTTACTCAGGTATTTCTGTTAGAAAAACAAACAAAAATTACTAACACCCCCTAAAAAAATTTAAATATTACTCCTTAAGGTTGAAAATGTAAGAATAAACACAGCCTGAAAAATGTATAAATGTTTTTTTCACTAAACATGCTAGCGTATTTATAAACCAAACTGATGCTGGTGTTTCTTGCATTTTCTTATGTTATGTTGTGTCTTGTTTTCTTTTGTTTGTTGGTACTGAGATCTGAACCCAGTGCCGTCCAATCAAGCCATTTTTTCACCTTCTTCTTCTGAGACAGGGTCTTGCTTGCTAAGCCGCTCAGTTTTTTACACTGGGCTTGAACTCGCCATTTTCCTGCCTCAGCTTCCCAGAACACCAGGATTACAGGTGTGCACCTCATATCCAGCCAATGTTATATTTTAATATACTGTTCTGAAATAAAATTTTCAGTAAGTAGCTATTACATAGCTTTTTTAATGTTGGTTTGCTTCAAACAATGTTAAAGGGCTCCCACTGATTCAACTACCAAATTACTGAGCCATTTTTACTACTATAGTAATCACTTTATGACTCGAGACGAGCTTCAGATTAACACAACTGTGAACAGGAAGGCTTTACTTCAAGCCTCACAGTAGATTTTTACCATACCCCACACATATACAACTGAAGTAACGCTAGAGGATAATCAAGAGACTCACCAAAACGCACATCTGAGATAAAAATAAATTTCAGCCTTTCAGGTTCCTCCATTTGCATGAACTTTCATATCAAAAGGCTACATTTTTTTTCTGAACCAGTATAATGTACTGGTAATACAACCACTATTCTTTGGAAGGAAGGTTTCTTTTTCTGTGCTAATAAAATAACTTTTAACTTGATACTTACAGTTATCTTCCACATCTTTTTTACTGTCCTCTTCTGCAGGGAACACTTGGTTTATAAGAGCCAAAAATGTCTAACAAACAAATTTTTAAAAAACCTCATTAAACATAAAGTTTACACATAATAAGAAAAATAAAGGAGCTTAATTGGTTGCATACATTATGCTGGCAACAACATATTCTTTGTTAAAATTTAATACAAATCCTACCATTTAATAAGGAGTTAACCCCCAAACAGGTGACTTTCCTCAAGAATAGTGCCCACTGTGACTGTGGAACTGAGTCAGTAATGCAACTCAGTAAATAAGCTTCCTCAGCTCCTCCACCGGCAGTGACATGTGAATACTAACGTACACAGGCACATTATTCTACAACTCTCTCAAATAATGCTTGTACATACAGCAGTTTTGTTTTAAATAAACAAAAGGTAGCATTCAATAAAATATAAAACATTAGTTTTAATATATGAATAATATTTGATACAAATTCCTGTACAAAGACCTGTCAGAAATATAAACAGTATCAGAGAATATTTGGTTAATAAAATTAAAAAGTATCCATAAATAAACCTGCACTTAAATTTACTACTTAAATTCTATGGTAGATAGCAGAACTAAGACACATTTTGTAAGGGAGAACAAATGATCTCAAACTACATCAAAAGAGAATTAAACTTTAATCCTTCCTATTCTAACAGTTACTTATAAATTTATACCTCTAAACAATTACAATTACTCTTGTGGTTAAAGTTTCCAAACATATCAAACAAAACACTAAGGAACAATGGTCCAATTATTTTAAAATAACACTTGTAGAGAAATACAGCATGTCCTTAGCATGTGCAAAGCCCTGGGTTTGATCTCTACCACCAATAATAATAGTATCTGCAAGTCTCTGTGTGTGTGTGTGTGTGTGTGTATGTGTATGTACAAGAATATTATATAAAATAAAGCCACTATCATAGTTTAGAGAATAAAATCCAGGCTGCAAGTACTACCTTAATTTGAAGTCATACCAAATTTAGAAAACTGTTATGCTCTAAAAACTCTAGAAGTTAATCATGTTGAATCCAGTGCATATATTCTCAATGTTATAAATGTGAAAAAGTGGCCAGGCATGGTGGCGCACGCCTGTAATCCTAGCACTCAGGAGGCTGAGGCACGAGGATCTCTGCAAGTTCAAGGACAGCCTGGGCTACAAAGTGAGTTCAAGACCAGCTTGAACTCATAGCAAGACCCTGTGTCAAAAAGACAAAAATAAATAAATAAATAAATATGAAAAAGTTTAGAGAAGAGCACACAAAAGTGAATTAATCATAATATACACTAAGTATATGAATGATAACATAAAGCAATCCACAAGTTATCACAGTGATTCGATAGAAAAATACATTCATATGTAACTGCTAACACAGAGAACTATGTCCCTACTTGTCACAGCTAAGACAAAAAGGATAAAGACTCCTCACGCTCCAGAGTTTGGGTCTAACCTGGTAGGTCCTATGCTAAATGAAAAAGACCTCAGGAAGTGAGAACACAGAGACAGAAGCTCAGGGAGGGCGGTGACGAAGATGTGCAACAAGGTTAAGAACACACTGAAACAAGTTCTCCCCCTGCTTCTCTAACCCTCAAATTACCTACTGGCTCCCATTTTCTTCTCTCCAAGAAAAAAACCTATTCCTTCCTAACAGCTGTTTTCTCTTAAAGGGAAGAGAATTTTTTCTTTCTAGCAAAAGAAGATCCAATAACAAAGAATGCACTGATCACCTAGCATAAAACATCAACCCCTCAGAAAATATAGCACATCAAGCTCCAATAACGGACACAACAAATAAAGCAGTCCCTGCACTTGAGAAGAACCTTCAGTAGGAAGGGGAGACCTGCATAAACATGATCTCCAAAGAGGGCTACAGGACATCTAAGAAGCTACACTCCTCTGCAAAGGAAAAAGTAACTAACAGTTAATTCTGTTTCATGGGAGGGAGAGATTGAGTTCTCTGTGGAAAATTTCCATAAAGAAGGTAACCTCAGTCTTAGATAAGCAAGTATTTGCTAAGCAAAGGGCTACAGAGAGTAGCACGCCAGGCAAAAGGAGAACTGCAGGAGGGGCACAGCACCGAACACCACCCGCTTTGATAAACACGTGTAGACAGAAAGAACAACAGAGAGAAGAAACAGATGCGTAAGGGTAAGGCAAGGCTGTCAAGGGGGAAACTGCAGGCTGATAAAGTATAACCCCAGCAAAGACGAGAGAAAGGAAATGCAGACCCTTGTAAGTCATACATTTTGGGTTTCAACTCCTAAGAACAGTCTGCTGCAAACAAGGAACATGAAATCAACTCAGAGGGTCAAGACAGTATTTTTAACAGAATATCGCATGTGCCAACGATGTTTCACTTGGTCAACTGTTTTGTTTAAGATACACACACACTACATACACTTGTGGACATGTAAAATGTATTCCTTATACATTCAAACACACACAGTACACATACCTAATGCAATATAAAATCATTCTTACTATGGCACACAAATGAAAACCATGAAAGCCACTGCTACCATCAAAGCTGTACCCCCGCCAGAGCTGAGCCCTCTCCATCTCCACTGCTCCACGGCCCCAGCACATTGCTGGTCTCTGGCAGCTGGTCTCCCACTCCATGAACTGAACTTTACATACATATTTAAGGGCTCAGGATCTCTAGACCATGAATCATCTCTGCAAAATATTACTTTTCTAATGGATCATTTTAAGCATCTGGTTATTACAACACTTGGCAATTTATTAAGACCTCAATCAGAAAGAAAGGAAACCAAAGATTAAAAGTAATCCTTGATAATCTGTTAATCCTCAAAAAAAATTTATGAAAATGAAAACTAAACTTTACAGAATTATCTACAAATCCATAAAAGTTACATGACTCCATAATTTAAACTGTTACTACTGGGTCTATAGGCACCTGATGAATACTACTACGGCACTATTTAAAGCACATTAAAATATTTTAAGTACTGAAAAATGCATACCCTCATACATCAAGTTTCTCTTATGCTTGAAATGAATTATTCCGTCACCTGTACATATAATATACCTAGGAAATATAATTTTCATTTTATTTTAGCCTTCTGATTTACTGTGCTTATAAAATATGTTAAATGAAAAGCAAATACTTTCAAATGCATAAATAAACTTCTAAAACTTATTTTATTTTTTAACATGTACTGCACTGTAAATACAAACAGGTGCCTGTTAATAAGGACAAAATCTAAAAACACTTTTTCTCTTCTTCCCTGAAGGTATCTTTAATTGGCCTCCTCTAACACAGCACATTATATATTATGCATTTTGGTTCCTGGGTTGTTTACAGTAACAGAATAGTTTTCTTTCTGAAAAGACCTCATGAGAGATCTCCTTGTTTTTCTAAGGTTCCCAGAAGGATAGTAGTCATACGGCATTACTTAACCATGTATCGGTAGAATATAAATTATTCATGAACACTTGCAGAGTGTAAAGTAAACAGAAATGACATCCACAAGTTTAATTTAGTCAGAAGACATGTTTAACAGGAAGACTGAAAATAGTGAAGCTGTCCTACAAAAACAGACTCTACCCATCCTCCTGGAGACTAAGAGAGGTATTCACAATGGACTCATTCTCTGCAAGCAGTTCACAAGTCCTGGTCACTCTGCTCCCTAACTTCCATTTTGTAACCTTGTACACGCTATGCCTAAGCAGAAAAGGAAATACATCCCATGTGTGCAGAACTAAAGTACACTTTTATGCTATCATTATCACAAAAATAGTGATAGATGAAGTTTTAAGACTTAGTATTTTTAGTCACTAGAAATATATTTATTCAAATCCCACACTAGTGAATTTAATAAAATGTGTCCAAAAAAAAGAGAAGACCTATAAAAGGCCAAGCAAAAAGCAAACACTGGCAACACAGCACCATTCACTTTTTATATTTTTACTTCATACAAGTTGAGCACATCATGGGTATACTAATAATTTCAGTAAAGTGGCATAAAGAACATGAATGTTGTTTTGATTTCATCACAAAGTTACTTAAGAATATGACTTATGAAAGACTCATGAAATCTGTCTCATTTTATCATAGCACACCTTTTTTCCCGAGAGTATATACTTCTGAATTTAATCAAAGAAGTCAATAGAAAACACTAAGATTAACTTAGGATTTTTTTCCCCTTTACTCTGCCAGGAATATCTTACTTCTGCAGAACAGAAACATGTATCTTTTGAAAATATACCTACTTTTAAAAAGGAATCGCATTTTGAAATCTTTCTGAGAAACTCACCTTGCCTTTTTGGTTCAACGGCTCGATCGTCAAGCTGTCGGGGCCGATATCCACGATACTGCCCATCTGAAACCCATCTGTCGGGTGTGGCGCCCACACGGGCTTCCCGTCCTCCATGTCTGGAAGGGCTATTCACTCTCTCCTGTTTCAAAGGAACAAAGAAAGCAACATGAATAACTTTTGAAACATTAAAAAATCTTTTATAAAAGTTCATTCATCATAATTTAGGGAAACACATCTCCCCTGACCCCAGATACTTCCCGCCTTTCCCTGCATCTCACTGCCTCTGCCCCCTGCAACCACCTTTTCAGAAGGGACGAGACGGGCAGCTCCACTCTCGGGTTACACTGGCTGCACCACGACCTGCCTTTGGTCGCGTCTGTAGCACAGTGCCACAAGTAACCAGACCAGAAGCAGTCACAGCATTTACCTGTTATCTCAGCATAATTTATAGCTGCATTCCTTTTAAAACCTCAAATATCCTGGTTTGCACAATAAGTAGTTGTTATGGCTTGTGTCTAGATGTCCCCCCCAAAGCCTCATGTGGTCGCAGGTGGGGCCTTTTCAGAGCTTGCTGGATCTAGAGTGTGTGACACTGGCGTTAACTCACGGTCCAGTGCTAGGATCAAAGGCACTAGGATTAAGGGTGTGCGTGCTACCCACCCTAAGTAGCCTTGGTAAGACATAAGGGTTAGAAAGACCTGTGCTCATCCCCTGCAATTCCCATCTGCCATGTGCAGCCCTGCCTTGGAGCCAGCAGAGTATGCACTGAAACCTCCATAAACGGTGCACTAAATAAACCTTTCCATCTTTAGCTTTGGGTGTTGGGTATTCTGGCTCAGGAACAAGAAAAATAAGACAGCAGTCACCATCAGCATAGATCTTATAGTGTAGACTTAGCTAAGAGTTGAAAATTAAGCCATTTTGGATCTGAAGGAATAAAAAGAGAGATTCCCTATATTCATCTTCGCAGAATTCCTCAGCATACCGCTTTGGCAGCCATTGTCTTTCTGTTTTACTAAGCTAAAACTTACATACAGTGACATGCACAAATCTAAGTCCACAAGTTGGTGGGTTTGGAGAAATGAATATACTTCTCTAACAAACACTTTAGTCAAGACAGAGAGTATTTCTATCACCCCAGAAAGTTGCCTCATGCCTCCTCTGGTCAGTCCCCACACCACACGGATCCCTACTGCTCTGTTAATCTTTGCCTGTCTTTGAGCTTCACTAAGTGAGGGCATACAGTATGCATTCATTTGTATCTAGCTTCTTTCATTTAACACTATATTTTGATGTTCAAAATATTCAACCATGTTGTCCATGTTGTCCACTGAATCACTGCCCCACAATTATTTACCTGTTCTACTGATGGACATCTGAACTACTTCCAGTTCTTGTCCACTGTTAATTTCAATCTAATTTTTCAACTGTTCCCACAAGGCTTCTTTCACACTTGGCATTCTGAGACAAGGCATTTGTAATTCCATTGAGAGTAACCCAGAGAGTGTGTGATATCCAAATTATTTTGTTTTTAAAGCTTTTATCCTTGGCCGGGCGTGGCGGAGCACGCCTGTAATCCCAGTACTCAGGCAGGAGGATCGTTGGGAGTTCGAGGCCAGCCTGGGCTACAAAGTGAGCTCAAGGCCAGCCTGAACTGCATAGCGAGACCCTGTCTCAAAAAGACAAAAAAAAAAAAAAAAAAGCTCGTATCCAACAAGACTAATGTGCAACAGCAGCACATCAGCTAGTGAATGACCCCCACATGTTTTCGTTTTGGCACCTTGACTGAAATTTACTTTTTCACCGTTTATCTACACTTCATGAAGAGCTGACTCATGTGCCGTAATGCTCCTCAAATCTGGGGTCCCCACGCGATGCTCTCAGATGCAGCCCCTGGGGAGGGCCGAGGTGTCAGGCACATAGTTCAGCGAATAGACCACTAACTGCTGTCAAGTTGCCGTTGTGCTGCTGGTTAACATCTTCTATGCAGCAGCCGGAGTGTGCTGCTGCCCCAGTCCAGCAAGGGCTGTTAGGTTCGGGTGTAACTCTGAGTTACAGATATTCTCCACAGAAGTAAAACAATAACACTGTTTCATAATTATGTTATCATACATACATCTGTATGCTTTCCCTAATCATTTTGTGCCTCATGGCTTGAAGTACCGCTTATATGTGAGTGATGCCTGAATGTGTTTCTCCAACTCAGACCCCCCCAGAGCCCCCAGAGGCTGCCGTGTCGTATGAGCGGCTTGCTCCACGTGGATGTATCTAACGGAGATACTATTATGTTCACTCCTCAGTCCACCATCTCAGCTTCTTCCTCTCCTTGTATCAGCAAAGGCAACAACACTCAGTTCAAATGAAACCTGGCATGAAACACAACTCCTCCAGCTTCTTCCAAATTCTTACACCACCCCTTGGGCAAGAACTGTGCCACTGAGCCACATGCCCAGCCCCCACCACGTCAGCGTTCCTCCAAGTGGCATCTCAAATCGACCCCGCTCTCAGCAGCTTGCATCTCCTCTGCTGTGCTAGTCCAACCAATGCCACCTTTCACCAAGACTTCTGTGGTTAGCTTTAGCTGCCTGCTACTCCTCTTCCCGCTCCACAGATCAGCAGTAATTGTACTGACTGAAAACCTGTAAATCTCCTCAGGTCATTCTTGTTCCATCAGGGCACACACTGTGCTTCCCTGTGCCCCTGAGGTACAACACACAATGAGCAACCCAATAGTTGCTGGTGAATGAGCTGTTCTGAAAGGAGTGAAAGGAGAGGTTAGACTACAACAATTGAACGCTCTGAAAACCTAGGCTTGAAACAGCTCCACCATGCTGACTGGCTCTTAGGCAAGTTACTTACCCTCTCTGATCTTTATCTTCAGCCTTATCCATATGGTGGGATAATATCACTTACCTTACAGAATTGCTGTGAGTATTAAGTGACATAAAACCGAGATCACCATTCTAACGGCACCCAATAGATGCTACCTCCCCGCCTCGCCTCCCCCACCGCCTTTGTTTGAAGCCAATTTCAAGACAAAGAACTTAGGCAGGCATGGCAGTGCCACATAATCCCAGGACTCTGGGAGGCAGAGACAGAAGCATCACAAATTCAAACCCAGCCTGGGCAACTTAGTAACCTAGTGAGGCCCTGACTCAAAATTAAAAAAAAAAATTAAAAGGCACTGAGGATGTAGGTCAGTATGAAGACCCTCGGTTCAATCCCCAGCAGTAGGGGAAAAAATCACAAAAAAAAATAAAAATCACAGTAGAACAAAAACCCCTCTAAAGTAAAAAAAAAAAAAAAAAAAAAAGACAATTCCCTTCAACTATTCAATTTGCTCTCCCATTTTAAATGGTGCACTGCAGCTTCCCAGTGCTAGAAAGTAACAAGGCACATATCTAATTGTTGTGCCTTCCTCAAAGCCCTGAGTCTGCAACAAAGGTGTTCTTTAAAAAGACATCACCCACAATGATGGGAGAACCAAAGAGAAGAATAATGTATTGAAAGTTAGGAATCAAATGGTTGAAAGGTAGCTAACATCAAACCAAGACAGATGAATTTCAAACCAGCAATTAGAGAAAATGAAAACCAACCCAATTTACTATAAAATCTTCAAAGAACACAAGAATTACAGCACAAGGTACTTCCAAGCCTTGGATCTACTGAGAAACGTAAAACAGAGTAGGGCAAACTGAGAAAGGAATTTCCTAACATCACCACACATCACTCCACATTGCTGAGGAAACGCACCCACACCAGCTCCGAGGCCAAGGGAAGTTTATAGAGGTCTTTCACCGGAACCCTTGGTCTCTAGACAGAGAATCATCAGGAACAATGAAGTTTGTACAGACAAACTGCTGGCAAAGACACTCTCCCCCAGGTCTGCATAACCCAGTTGTAGCAAGAAATGAAAGTCAGTTTACAGACAATCCTCCCAGCTAGATATCTGCTCAATTCCTTACCCCTGGATGAGGAAGACCTTGACCTCTGTTCAGCAAGGAGTTGCACACCCTTCGTGCCTCCTCCTAGCAACTTCTATCCAGACTCCCACTCTGTTCCCAGCTATAAATTCCAGGCTGGGTCTTTGCCCTATTCACAGTTAAGCCCCATCTCACTCCCCTTTCATGATACCCTTTGTTATAAACAATGTATGTGAGTATGTGACTGAACTGTGCCTCCCTGGCAAGCGGGAGGTCATGAGTTCGATTCCCGGTACGCGGGGAGGGGGGGGGGACAAACAAACAAACAAACAAAATCAAATGAACTGTGCTTCCCCCAAATCCCTTTGTTGATACCTTAACCTCAATGTAACTATCTTTGAAGATAGGGCTCCTAGGATGTAATTATGGTAAATGATGTCAAAAGGGCAGGGTTCTAAGCAGAGAGGTGGCCTCATAAAGAGATTCTCCAAGTAAAAAGCCATGTGAGCATAACGAGAAAAAGCAGCTGTCTGCAGGCCAGGAAGAGTGCTTCCCTGAGAACTCATCCGTGCACACTGAACTCATCAGATCTCCAGGTTCCAGAACCATGGGAAGACGAACTGTTGTTTAAGCCACCCTGTCTGTGGTACAATACAGCCTACTGCAGCAGTTTTGAAGAAGATATTGCTTATCATTTTAAAAAGTATCAGCGTATTTTTGCCATAACAACATAACAGTAGAAATGAAATATTCATTGGAAGTTATAGAAGATACAACTGAGTCAAACTTTCTGAGACACAAGAAAAAAGAAAAAGAGATGCGGGGGAAGCAAATGGAGGGGGAAATACACGAAAGTAATGTAAGTAAAATGAATCAGCACAAAACACCAGGAAAAACCCTTCTGGCCCCAAAACAGAGAGAATGCTTGAAATATCCAGAGAAAATTCACCAGAACTGAAAGACATGATTTTCTAAGAGTCCAGCTAATATATTCACTGTATCCTCAACAAAGCAAGTGAAAACAGCCACCAACATGAAATACCAGAACACCAGAGATGTGAGAAAAACAGAATGAAAGAATAGGATCCACAGGATCATAATTAGAATGGCTTCAGCAACAGTCTACGCATAAAGTACTAAGTAATGCTTTTAAAATCCTAAAAAAAGAAAAGCTATTTTCAACCTAAAACTCCACATGCAGATAAACTACCACCCC